AAAAATTCAAAAAGCTTTTTAAGCTTTCATAGTTAAATTTCAAAAGATTTCAATTGAATAAGTTTTTTGTTAATTTAACAAATAGTCGTAATTTTTTAAACTTATTTTAACAATTGTCCAAATAATTCATCTTGTAATCAACAAGTTCATGAAAAACTGTCAACTTTATGTGCTTAAGCGATTGCATCACATCGATATGAGACGAAACTCTTTAATGTTCATTTATCATGTGTTTATGATTTATTTAAAATAAATAATAAATAATAAATAATATTTATATGAATCTTTACTATTTATTCAGTTAGGGATCGAACAGAAATAAATGCTTAGCTTGCAAATTTTCAATGATTTTTTTATATTTTAAATTAATTACTTGCAAATATGTTGACATTTTTGTACAAAATTTTACGATTGGGTCATCGAAAGCTCTATCGAACATAATGAAATGTGAAGACGTGCAGCGTTATGTGTAGCATTCAGCACGCATGGAATGGATAATTTTAGCAAGCTCAGAACATTTTTTTTCCATTGTTATGAAGTCACTTATTTATTTACATTACAAGTAATGCACACGTGCCGTAACATATTACATCACAGAAGATTTAAATGCAAAATAGTAGTAATTAAATGATTCTGCATAATTATTTGCGCATTATTTTTTAATATTTTTTTATGGACAGCGAACTTAAAGTTTAAATGTTGATTTTATCCTAATTTACATAAGTAAGAAATTAATTGTTAATCACATAATCAAGCTGCTGTAAATTTTAAGTATTAAGTGCTTTTGAACTTTAATTTTGTGCATCTTGTTTGGAGGTTGACTTCTAATTCTGTCTTCATAATCTTCTTATTCTTGTTATAAATCAACATTTTACACCAGCTTTCATTTGAACAATACAATTCAATTCAATGTATGAAACTAGTTGTGTTTTAGGTCAATAAAAGCACGAAATTTGCTAAAACTACTGCAGATTTGATGTCAAAATATGTCTTAAGGTTTTGTTTGCGTAAAAAACTTGTTAATTGATGAAAAATTGCGTTAAAGATGAAACAGAGCTCTTTTGATTTAGTTTAAAACTTAAAAACGCTTTCTAAAATCAGGTCAAATATACCAAAAAATCTGATTCCTAATCCATCTTGCATACTCGATTTTGTGCGTAATCATAAAATAATCCAAATATAAACACGTGATTTTACAACAAAAGTTTTATGTCATAAACTTTTTTCTTTATGTTTAGCCAAAAGGAATTTTTTTTACAAAAAAAATCATTGTAAAAGGCAAGTGGACTTTAATAAAAGATAAGGTACCGATTAACCTTCACCAATATTTTTATATTTATTTACCAACTCATATATCCATAATTGTTGATGACGCTTTTACACCAAAAATGAAAAAAAAAAATCCTCGACGATCATCATACGAATCCAAAAAAATGTTACAAAATTGATTTCGATTACTTTCATAAACCTTCAAGGAGAAAGAAGAGAAGAGAAATGTTTGTGGATGTTGACTGACTGGATGTTATGCATATGTTCATCCTTCGATGCTGCAGTATCTGCTGAGCTTTACAGTCTTTTAATGTTAATGTAAAGATGCCACAAACTTGTTGACATTTTGCTCACACAGAAGCTTAATTGATAATGAATGAATTATGTGATGAATTTGCCTTTGTGCAGTTCAGTTAAATTTAATTAAAATCATTTAAGTTTATGCATTTTAAGAGATTTATTTATGAAGCTTTTTTCAGCTTTTTTGTTGATTTTTTATGATTGGAAAATAATTAATTAAATTATAAGATGCTTGCAGATGGTTTGGGTGACTATCTGCATCAACAAGGAAAGCAGATTGATCGTTTTAGTCTTCCTAAATATTAATTGGTTGTAATATAAATTATCAACATAAAATGAGTTGAAATCCTTTATTTAAAATTTGTAAATTGTCTTTAATTTAAAAAAAAAAGTCCAAAACATCTTAATTCGACCAATATCACCGGAAGTCATTTCAAAAACTCATCATCAAAAAGAATGATTTAAGCAAAACTTTTCCATCCATGAAAAGTCCACAAAAATACAAATTTAATAAGTTTTTGAACCAAAAAAGCTGCTTCCGTTTGTGAAAAAATTTACATGAATAATAATTCAAAAGTAGTCTTGACATAACCTTCATTACCTTATCGCATAATTGTCTCTGAATGCTAAATTAAAGGCTACTCAATAATGAACATCTTGTAAAATTCACTTCCAACCCTTTTTCAATAAATACACAAAAGCTGATAAATGGAGGATCGTCGATAATGAAAATCTTACATGAGTCCACTCACGTCATCTCTCGCTACACTTTAAATTCCTTTGATTGTGGAAGGTCGCGACGTGAATCTCCATACTTTTACTCTTCATTCCCCTTTTTTTTCTTTCTCAATGATTAAGTGAGTACTATAAAAAGATTATGGCCTTGGATTGATCGAAGTAAAATAATTAATTGCGCAATACAATTTTCATTCGTAGACAATGGTGATTGAATTATTTTATAAAATCTTTAAAATAAGATGCAGCTTAAATTTATGACATTTTTGGACTCAATAACAGATTGAATCATTAAATAAGAACTAAAGCAGAGAAAAATCCCATTCACAAAGACCTAAAATGTTCAAGGACGGAAGAAAATAAGTTGAAAGGATTATTTCCTTGTAGAGTTCAATGATTGTGGTGTTAAATGTTGCTGATAAAACAGTGAAAGTCTCATGAATGTGTAAATTTATTTAAGGCAGATCATGGAGCGTTATGTCTGCATTTGCAATTATTTATAGAGAAAGGCTTTAAAGAAATTGAGTTCAAATTGAAAAGAGAGTCTGCATTATCTGAGGAAATACTTACTTAATTGTTTCTTTGGCTGGAGCGCACGTGGGCCCATTGTTGCGGTTAGAGAACGTCTATAGACAGCTCTATCCTTTTACACCTGCTGCCAGTTCGGGATATTCAGGACTCTAGCGTCTTTTTCAACACAACCAATCTAATAGTTCTTCGGTCTTCCTCATGCTCTCTTTCCATCCACAAAGTCTGCTAGTGTTACTTTTAGAACCGGAGCATCCTGTTTGAATATTCATGTTAAAAGTAATAAGATGGAAAATGTTTATAGATTTTCCTGTCTAGCTTGATTGATCTTCATTGAAATACTTTTACGAAAACTTTTGGATTTCTGACAAATTTTGAAATCCTACATTTAAGATTCAATATCAAGTTTTTCGCCAAATGCAATTTTGCATCTCTTTTTGGTTAAATTATTCAGATCCTTGAAACTGCTGACCACGCATCTCTATAAACAAGCTCAACTTTCGATAAAACAGCCAAAAAATTCCCAAAAAATTAAACATTGACCTTCAAAAAATAGAAAATAAAATTAAGTTTAGCAGAAAGTGTCATCAAATCGTAATTTTAATATATTTGCTAAAATATCCACGATTGTACCATTAAATTATAATTTTTTCATCATCAAATATTAGCATGACAACTTTAAATCACTTATTTCAATTGACAGAACTGACTGATTATGGTTTCTTTTGTGTGTTTCATAAAAACATCAATATTGGATCAGCGATTTTTATATGGAACAGTACGTAAAGCAACCGAAAAGGAAAAATTGTATTTTTTTCGTCATTTATGTAAACATTATTTGCATAATCATCGCAAAAAAAATTAATACATGCAAAATTATTATTTTTACCCGAAAAGAATTTTTTATTTTTACTTAAACTATTTTTCCATGCTTTAAGTATTGGTCACTAAAGAATCAGCTCTTCAAAAAAATATTTGCAAGACTTTAGTCAATTTTTGAATTTCATAGCGATAAGCTCGGAGAAAATTTTGGTCAAAGACTGACTTTGGCTTTCTGATGTGACTAAGGTTTTGTGGTTTCAAAAGACAAAGGAAATTTTTTCATTTCAAGTGTTAATCAAAAAATACATAAGAAGATATTCAATTAAAAAAAAAGAAATTTTTCAACCTTTAAAATTGTTGTGACGTGTGAAAAATGATGGAAATGTAAGTTTGTCGGTTGGAATATGTGAGAACATATGATCAAGATTTTTAAAAATGCGTTTAGACAAATTCGTAACTTGTTTGAATGAACTGCTGCAAAAGAAATTATTTCTATATAAAAAGTTATCAATCTTAGGATTTTTGAAAGTTTTTAAATATTTAAATTTTTAAATTTTACGATTTATTATTACGGAAATTGGAAAGGGGTTTTACTGTGAATATACTCAAATTTCTTTCAATTTATAAATTTTTGTCTAGTTTAAAATTTAGGATTTTTCTTCTTAAAGATCACAAAATTTTTGAATTTTTTATTGATAAGGAGTTCAACTAATCATCATGGCTACGCGTCTGATCTAATTTCTTGATTAAATTATTTCATATTCATCAAACTTAGCAAATCTTTTTCAAAACGATCCAAACCAGACATATTCCTCTTAACATTCAAGTTCAATTCCAAAAGACTAGACGCTTATAAATCTTCTCCTATTTTTGTCAACACAGACAATCTTCATAGCTTACAAACCGTGTAAAATCATTTTTCCACTGTGTTTTACATTTTTCGGTAAGTCAACCTCATTGTTAAGTGGAAGGAGAAGCGAAGAAAAAGAAGAAGAAGACAAAAAAACGTAAAGAAAAAAATATTGTGGACCAGTCATGAAGAATCCTATCATTTCAGTTCAACGCTGAGAGCGGTCGTGTAATGACCGATAAAAAAATTGGTGCAAAGTTTCTTAAAAAGAAATAAAAGAAAAGAAAAGAAACCAAAAGTGAATTAATTTTTAAAAAATATTTTATGAACGAAGACAAAAGAAAAGACACAAAAAAAAATTCATTTATCTTAAGCAATAAGCTTATGTCTAGTGACAATTCACACAATAGCTTTATTTTGTCTTAAAATATTTTAGTTAAACTTTCTTTTTCATGCGACAATATTTGCAGTTAATTTATAATATTTTTTTATTTTTATGACGAAAAAGCGCATTTTTAAAAATTTAATTGATTAAATTAGTGAAATAATTTATCAAAAAAAATAGTGCCAACAATCACACAACTGAACTTGATAATAAACCTCAATCAAACGATCCTAAAATGAGTCATGTGCAAGCGGTAACAGTTCTAGAAGCATCGCAACAATCAGACAAGAAACATTTGGTAAATAGTAATAATGTTAATGGAAAAATCAACAATATCACAAAGCGTAATGCATACAAAGATACAAATAATAATGAACAGCAGATAACGAAAGAGTCATTAAATGTTACACCGACAGACAGTGAAGAGCCACAGGAATATTCGCTGTTAGGTCTTGTAACATTTAAATCACCAATCAAATGGCTCAACTCCGTCTCAATCATTCTCATACATCTCATATTTGTATACGCATTTTTGACATATCCACTACAAGGTGGATTTATTACGACCATTTGGGGTAAGTTGAATATTTTTATGAAATTTTGTGATTAATGACAAAAATGTCATGGAGATAAAAAAAAGAAATTTGAAAATCATAATTAATTTTATATTGTCGTCAATATTTCATATTTGATTTAAATATATGTGGGTCATATATCTCATTACTATGTTTGTGAAAATCATACATACTTTCGTTATTTTTATGATCCGAAGAGGAAGCAAGAGATGAAAGATAATCGCGTATACTTTTACTTCAAGGTCTTAAAAATTGTTGTGGTTCGGATGTAAGATTTTGAAGAATATGAGATTTTGAAGTTAACTAAACAGCTGATAAGTTTTGATAAATTTCTGAGTTAAGTTCTGATTGTGATTAAAATGTTTTAAGCAAAAAATAAGCTTTGAATTTTTCGAGAAGCTTTAAAATAATTTTAATGCACTTTTACGTCATTTCACATTTATTTTTAATGCAATTTTCACTTTTATCTATAAAAGATAATTATATAATGTTGATACAGTTTCGTTAATTAATTAAACTTACCATCCAAGCCCTCTTTAAAATTGCAATAACTTTTTTCTCATTAATTCCAAATATTAATAAATACAACAACGAAAAAGTCCCGCAAAAGTAAAGATAATTTCACATTAAATCAAAAAACATTTGATTGATTGAGTTCGCAATGGAATTAACATTAGATTGCTAATTTTTGTCACTTTAGATATCATCAATCAGGTTGATATCTCTTTGAGTCACTCAATTATCTTGAATAAGTGTGAATTGATTAACAAAGAAATTTAGAAAAGTGTTGAGCTAATTCAAATTAACGAACAAACTATACGTGATTCAACAAAAAGGATATAAAAATATAAGAATTTTCATAAAAGAATCCGTAAAGTCAAAACGATTGCTCAATAAATTGCAATTGAAGTTTCCAAATCTCTTAAGACACGCGCTTTCAAGATTATGAGTCGATTTAAAAAATTATTACATTGTAATTATCCTAAAAGTGCAAAGAAGTGTAGACATGACTTAAATATTGTAATTAATGCTGTTAATCCATTCGCAACTGCACTTCTGCATAAAAATTAATAATCCATAAATAAAGGAAATTAATCGTGTGTTTAAAGGAAATAAATGAAGTCTTGAATAAAAATTCAAAGAATTAAGTTTCAACAGCAAGGCAATGGACACGTTCATGGTCTTTTATGAAAGGAACTTTAAAGAAATTATTACAAGGTCGAAGAACATAATAAAAATCTGATTATTTACAAGATTTTAATTAAATTGATGTGAACTTCATGTTAATCACTTCTTTTATTGGCCGACTTTACTAATTAAGAATTGAAAATGTCAAGTTTTGGTTGGGATTGTCGACAAAAAGTGAAATTATAAAATAATGTTGAAATTGGATTATGTTTGAATGACATCCGTCTAAGCATAAATATTTGAACAGAGTCTTATATTTTTCAACATATAAGACAGAGTTCTAGTACTGAATTTGCAAAACCAGGTTCATTTCTTAAGATCCAAGCATTACAATGTTTCTCTTATGTAACCTAATCTTGCTATTGAGTAACTTTCATGATAATACAAAAAGATGTATTTTTTATTGGTAATTAAATTATTATTAAATACCAAAAATGGAAGTGAAGATTGAGCATGTTAAGGGTAAATATTAACATTGTGCAATAGGACGTAATTTACACCACTTTTGATGACTGTAAGAAAGTGATTAATTTTTTTATCACCGCTACATTAATCTTATCTCCTGATGAAAACCTTAAAAATTAATATCATCAACTTCCAAATTTAGAAAAGAAAAAAAAAACATCATATGATTGTACTTTCCCAGTTTCGTACGTGAATGATGCACGTATGCATGATAAATAATGCAATTTAATGTTGTAAACAAAATGTTATTCCAATTGGAAGTCTTCCGATCAACTTAAAAAACAAAAAAGAAAAGTTAAAAGTGAAGGGACAATCCACAAAAAAAGCTAGCCAAATGCTGTAATCAGCAGAGCTTTCCATATTTGCAAAAATTGCATTTTGTCGTGAGATTGGCAAGAAGAAAAAAATTTAATGAAAAATTGAGAAAGGTGTTCAAGAGCTGGATATTCTTGAAAAGATTTTCATGGTCATGAGATGGTGAAGGGCTCAAGTTTTGTTGACTTGCGAATATTCAGGAAAACGACGTCGCGCACGACATATCAAACCTGAATGACTTTCAACTCCTTTTTGAAAAATATTTAATATTTTTTGTCTTTACAAAGATTGCGTAACTGACCAGAAAAGTGCTATCGAAAAACTTGTCACATTTTTACATGTGGCTTAAAAAAATTATTCAAGATTTCTGAGCTACGATTGGAAAAAGACAAATTTTTGGTACAGTTCATATGTAGTAAAGTTAATGCTTTTCAACAACTGCTTCTTATACTTTTACTATATTTACTGTTTTGCGAAATGAATTTTTCGTTTTATCGAGATTATCATTTTTCCTGCTTATTTTAATTTGAAGTCAGATTCAATCATGACTAATATCAAGTAGTTTCTGGTTTAAAAAAATATATTAGGTTATGTATATAAACCTTTCGTTTTTATTACATGCCCTAAAATCGAAATGACTTAAAATTATGATTCAAATTTTGAAAAATCTTACGTAAAATTCAAGAAATCATTTTTCCATTTAAATTATCTCAAAATATTTACATCACAACATGTGGAATTGTTTTATCAACTAAAGGAGATTCCTTTGTATCATGTCAAGTAATTTGTGCTTTTTGCTTCAGCAACCATGACCAATACTAAGTAAAATATTCAAATTTATGGTTTGGAAAAGATGAATTCAAATACTTAAAAGACATTACCAAATTATTTTAGGTTTTTGAATGTTTGTCTAATCTTCAAACGGTTCAATTCATTTGTCATATGTGAAACAAATCACGTAAATTATGAAATAGCTTCATACTCAAAAAATGTTGACCAACAAAATCATGTAAATAGGAATAACGAAGTTTGTTCATTTTATGCAGCTTCCGGTCGGTAAGCAAATGCACATACGAAAGCAAAAATTAACAAAAACATACAAAAAGTCGCGTGTGCAGATGAACAAACGTATGAATCAGTGAACAGCTGCTTGAAGAAAAGAAAGCGAAAGTCTGTTTGTGCTGTGTATGCACTTTGGAACTTTTTGGAAAGTTTTCTTTCGTTTTGGATTCTTTTTTGGGCTCAATCGTTAGTGTTGGAGTTTCGGTACTTAATGTTATGTTTATGTTCCTAATTCAAAACTTGTTTTGGATTTTTGGAGATTCATTTCTGTCCATTAAATCAAATGGGAAAAGTTAAAGAAAGTAAAGTTTTCAACTACAGATGAATTTTGATCCACAGCTTCGAAATATCTCCAAAGTAAATAAAACCTCAATTGTTAGGATGATAATCATTCAAATTTTTCTTAAAATTAGCACTAAATTCTCAGACGTATACCAAATTTAAAATATTGAGGAAAACAAGTCACGGGTCATGAATTTAAATAACATTGTGATCTGCATGCATGGACATTGCTTGATCTTAAAAATATTTTAAATAAATTAAGTTGTGGACATGATGTGAATACCTTCAAATTGTCTATGCTTGGAACTTCATACGTCTTAATTATCTTCATAATGTAAGACTTAATATAAGATGTCATTTACACCTTTTTAATGTAGATTAAATTGTTCTTTTTTTAAATGACTTCTGCTCAAAAATAGACTTAATGTGCGAAAAACGTAAGCTGCCCAAAAGATGAAATTTATGATAATCAGATGATCTTGAATTTTTTTTTGATTGTGCATGTTGAATGAAGAGTTGAGAATATATTACACAACTAGTTGTTTGCTTGGTCATTGACCAAGACTGTGGATTTTTTTTTGGAACAATAAAAGCTAAAACAACTTTGCAGATCTCCTTTTGCGATGCACATTGACACATTTTATCTAAATGAAGCTGTTTTAGTTAAGGAAAAAAAAAGTTGCAAAAATCGTAAGATGATATAGAAAATTTCCAAGAAAGCATGAATCCGATTTAACAGGATATGTTTGATAATTAAGACTAAATGTCCCATTTCAAGTAATTCAGTAAAAAGAGTTCATGAAATTATTAAGTGATTTTCGAGAATATTTCATCAATCATTCTCTGATAACGCTGATGTTGATGATTTGTCACGTGGCAAATTTATGAGGTCGGCTGTGCACTTTTTTGATCACCCTGAATATGATGACTCAGTGTCTTTTCACAATGAATCAACGACCTGCATAATATTTTATTTTTACATAAAATTATTTTTATCGGATTTAAAAAATATTTTTATCAATAATTTAAACTCAAAGCTTTTCAATATTAAATTAAGTTCCCAAATGTCTCTATTTTTAGGTTTTATTGTGGGTGGAATCGGAGGATTTGGAGTCACAGGTGGAGCTCACAGATTTTGGTGTCACCGATCATATAAAGCTAATGTTCCACTCAGAACTATTCTTATGCTTTGTTACTGCACGGCTGGACAGGTATTAACTACGACTTAGTAACAAATTGCAATTTTAATTCCTTTGTGTAATAAAATTTCCAGAATACGCTTTACGATTGGGTTCGAGATCATCGAGTTCATCATAAATGTAAGTCATAATGTACTCAAACTTAATTGAAAATGCAAAACTAAAGCTTTTAATTCCCTTTAGATTCTGAGACTGATGCTGATCCGCATAATTCAAATCGTGGATTTTTCTTCGCTCACGTTGGTTGGTTGATGCTACAGAAACATCCACAAGTTCTCAAAAAAGGTCGCGCCATTGATATGAGTGATGTTTTAGCTGATCCAGTAATTCAATTTCATCAAAAGTAAGTAACATTGAGATTATCATAAAATGCGACCCTCGACTAAAACAGAAGCACATTTTTTCTCACGTTTTATTCAATGCAAATTGTAATTCATTTGCGCACTGAGATGGGAATGATGCTTAAGTGACTATTTGAGAAATATGCGGCTATTTGAAGTTACAAAATAAAGCTGTGAATTAATTCAGCAAAGCAGTCAAAACAACAGTGTTATCGCGGTTGTTATGGAAGGAAAAAAATTTTCTTTCAGATTTTATATGTGACGCATAAGGCAGTTTTGCGTTGAATTGAAGAATTGAACGGATGTTGATGATTTAGATCTTGATATTGTTTTGGTTTTGATTAAATTGTTGGGATTTTAATAGACGAGTCAATGATCTCAATTTTTATCGAGTGCTTAGCAAGTATAAATGATTATTTTTGACCCTATTCCATTCAAAACTCAATATCCAACTCACTCAAAAGCTTGTCAAGTCTTGAAAACCTCTTATGAATTCAAAAATCAACTAGAATTTTCCATAAAACTCATTTTCACATTTTATTTTTGACATAAATATTTATCGCAAAAAAACTGACCTCATTTCCACAGCAAAAATAAAAGCAAAACCCAAATTTATTGTGCGAATTCCAAAAAATGTATTTAAGAAACTCAGCAAAGCATTTTTCTTACGACACACGTCAATATTTATAATGTTGACGTTATTGAATAAAATAACAATTTTTAATTTCAGGTACTTTATTCCCTTGAAGATCATCTGTTGCTTTATCATTCCAACGATTGTTCCAGTGTATTTCTGGGGTGAATCATGGTACATGGCATTTATGTCGCAATCAGTTATTCGCTACTTATTCAGCTTGAATTTCACATGGTAAGTTTAAGGATAATTAATGATAAAACAAAATTTCAACATAATTTTTGCATTAACAGGTTGGTTAACTCTGCAGCACATATGTGGGGATATAAACCATACGACAACAGAATTAATCCAGTCGAAAATGTTGCTGTTGCAGTCGTTGCTATGGGTGAAGGCTGGCACAATTATCATCATGTAAGTCATGAATGATTAATGATTTTTTTTATTCTTACTGATTTATTGTAATAAATTTTTATGAAGGTTTTCCCGTGGGATTACAAAGCAGCTGAACTTGGTGACTACAAGCTTAATATCACAACAATGTGGATTGATTTCTTTGCTAAAATTGGATGGGCTTGGGATCTTAAGGAGCCATCATCAGATTTAATTAGAAGGACTGTTGAGAAGCATGGTAGAATGAACTTAATATTAAGATTTTTTTTTGGATTTTTATCAATTTTTTCACTTATCAGGTGATGGATCTCATACAACATACGGACATTCAGAGAATGTGTTCGCTAATAATGGTCCAATTGAGGTAAATTGTAGATTTTATTGTCAATTAAGTTTTATTAAATATCAATTTATCTTGATCGCAGGCAATTGCTGCACCAGGCGAGCCAAATCTGGGTTACTAATCTTTCATAATAAGCATGACTTCTTAGTAGTCAAAAAATATCATCAACTAAGCATTTATGAAGGAAAATAAATTGAGCATAAATGACATCTTGTCTGCTAAGAACTTAAATTAAGAAAGTTTTTGTAAGATTCGTCCTTAAAATGCAACAATTTTTGGGGTGATTCATTTATTATGTTCAATTCATCAATTTGTTTTTACAATACGTAATAAGTGAATTAACCCTTAAATATTTTGCAACATCAAATAAGTTTAATTTCATATCATTATGTTTTTGACAATTGCTTTAAAGTTAAATGTTCAACACAACAAAAAAAGAGTTTTAATAATTTTAGTTTTATTCAATATTTTCAATTGGGTTGCAAATCAAGTGGGTGCTGTTTTTATTCCTGTTTTACAAATTTATAGAGTACGTTTTTTTAATAGTAAATTTAGCAACAACTTAAATATTGAGTGCATTTCGCAAAAATCTTATTAAATTTTGAAACAACTACAAAATTTTAATATTTTGATAACCTTAGCACCTCTTGATAGGAACTTTTAAAGAAATAAGATGCTTTACATTTTACAATTATGTTACTTTTAAAATCATCAATAAAATAAAGAAAATAGTTTGGTGTAAAATAAAAATAACGGTTTTTCAATTTTTCAAAATTCGAAGCACAACAAAAATTATTCCAAGCGAAAAATTTCGCAAATCCACATTCCAGTCACTAACGTATCGGATGTCAGTATTAATAAAACTTCCAAGTTGGAATTATTTGGTTTCATTCGTTGCTAAAATTCTGAGAGAAGAAGTACCTAGTCGTAAAAATATATTTATTTAAAATATTGTTGAATATGAGAAAGTGTTAAACATTTAAATACTCAATCAGTTTTTATTCTAATTGATATAGAAATTAAATAAAACAAATAAAAATTTCGGTGAGTAAATTGTCTTACATATTCAAGGTCAAAAACTATATCGTCAGTGAAATTTGCACACATAAAATTCGCGCATGCAATCAATAAGCAAATTGTGTGTCAAAAAATTTCTGAAGATATTCAAATTGTATGAGCATTTGAAGACAGAAGTAGAACAATTGAATTATCTTAAACTCAATTGTTGTTGCTATGTAGAATGGCTAATTTCATCTGTGCTATAAACTTTTCATATCGCAAATTTTCTTCTTCAAATTCCAAACCTTCTACGTGACAAAAATTCGAGTGAAAAACTAGAACAATTTCGTTGTGTGCTTGACCCGGCTTATGCCACGCTTTGCAACACCTTTCATTTGTTGTTAATGAGAGTCTGGCGATGTATCGTACGATCACTCATTTTTCAACATTTTGTGTCGCTATTCGTTAGCGGTTTTTCGAGGAGTTCGCAAATAAAAATGAAATAAGAAGAAGTTTAAAGCTATATTCTCTTCTACATTAACTGCTATTTAGATAATGCTTGCTAAATTTAGACAATACGCGTGACTTTTTATACACAAATGTTATCTTAAGTTTGATATCCGCCGAGAAAGCTTGCAATTTTGTGCAAATATGGAAAAAATTGCTGAAACAATGAAAAAGAAAAACTGGTTTCATTCTAATGTTTAATAGTCTATCCAATTGCGTCTTATTTTCAAATCTTATGCAATGGAAAAAGAAAGCTTGGCCAGAAAAGAAGGCCTATTGATTTGTTATGACAGCGCATTTTCCTGTGTTCTGTTTGTGGATTTAATAAATAGAATAATAATGTTTGTCTTCTTTTTCGTCGGAATGAGTAGAAAATTCTGGTGATGCGAAATGAGTCAGTGATGATGAATTTTTTGTGTTTTCTGGAAGTTGTTAATACAATATCAAAAGTTGACAGTCCTTATTTAGTTTCGTGTTCTGACAATCTTTTAAAGCTTTATTTCAATAAAATCATTTTAGTAAACCTTCAAACTATGTTCAAAAATCTATTTATTTGACCGGTTTCTCCTAAATTTGTAGAATTAGATAAATAGAAACAACAAACGTGGACTTTTCGTTTTGTTCCAACTCATGTTTTGATGATGAAATATTTACAATGTGTGAATTTTTGTAGAATTCATGCTATTAATAACTCAATCTTAGCTGCCCAACCCTAGAATATACTGCATTGTCTCAAAAGACACTTGATCAAATAATTCCAAATGTTTACTTCTTTTACTATTGATGTGTTTCGGCAGTCTCATTAGCTTAACCTTCATTCTTTATCATTATTTCTACTGAACTTTACAATTTTCGGGAAACATCACCTCAAACAACATATTCATAAAATCAGCAAAGAAGTAGACTAAGTGAAATCTCTACAGCTGACAAAATAAACAGCATTTTTCTATAAACGTGCTAAAAAGTATTTAAAACTGGCGAAGAAAAAGTAAAAAACTTTACATCATCGAACATTGAGCTTAAACGTTGATTCTCGTTTTTCTATTTTGTCGTCTAAATATATATTTTTTGCCATAAAAATTTACATAACCCAGTGTGTCTCTGCAGGCGAACGGACTCAATAGAATGAAATTTATTCTTCATTGTATGATTTCGGCAGTCAATCAGTTTCGTTTAAAGGTCAATAAGAGGAAATTGTTATCAATTAACAGACTGTATTTTTGCGAGTTTCAGAAATTTTCTTTAGATTATTTATGAAATAGTTAAATTTTCTTCCTTTACGTGCGTCTGCTTAATATCACTTGCCTTAATATGCAAACTTCATTATCTCAATTATCTCTAATTGCTCACTGCACGCAGAGTTATTTTCAGTCAATTATCCAATTTTGAACAAGTTTATTGCTTTAGCTGGATAATTCTGTGATTTGCGAGTTAATGTGTGTAGGAGTTTTGCAAGCTATATCTAAACACAGCATGATAGCTTGACTTCTGAATATTTTGCAAGATTAAAAGGTCTCACAAAACTTGAGTCATCAAGAATGACTCTGTTGACATTCGTATATGAAAAAATAAATGTTTCATCATTTTCTTTGCGTCAGCTGGCTCTTGCTTAGTCTAAATTGTTTGCAATTTCTTCTTTGACTTTGCTGCACTTTGCAGTTTAAATTATTGAGGTTAATGAGCTTAGAGTCGAGTTAATTCAACTTTTGTGGATGTCAAAAGCATTTTATGCTTACTTTCATGACATAATATTTCAAAATCTTCTCCTTTATCTCATCTGAGACTTAAACTTTTCCTCTCCTCGTACTCTTAGCCACTCATAAACAACTTTTCATCATCATGCCATACAATATAATATGATTGTGATTATGAGGTTTGAGAATATAAAATTTTATGAATGTTTAACGACATGCGGGAGTGTCTAAAGTCCATTTTCAACTTTGTTTACTTAAGGATGAATTTTCCTGCACGTCAGATTCCTAAAATAAGTTCTGACTTTCTTTTTATTGTTAAAATCCTTTCCCATTCTTACGCAATCAGGCATCACTTATTCATGTTCAATCAATTTAACGATGAATAGTGAATTTTATATACGTGCAGAATTTCTAGTGCCAACAGCTGCTTGTAAAATCTAATTTTACTTCATTACTATAATTAACTAGCACGGAAGGTATTTTTATGGTTCTATTTTCGAAGCATGTATTTTTGTCATCATAGTACAGACTATAGTAATAGTTTGAATTGGCACCAACAATATATCCTTCGGCATTCTTCTTACCAGCATAATAAAACTTTTGTTTGTCTCGAGACTTCTAGAATAACATAAAGGCGCAGTAATAGTGTGGCATGTGTGGAAATTTAGTCAACGAAAGATTTAGAACTTTTTCAAGGTCAATTTTATTCTGGAAGACTTGATTTAGGGGGGAAAATACTGCTTAAATTAGCTTAAGAGTATTAAAATAGGAAATTCCTTCTTTAGTAACAAAAATCTTTTTTAATTTAATCTATGCTGTTAACCTGGAGACCCACCACAGCACTGCAAGATTAATTCGTAAACAAACAATATTTTTGAGTCGTCATTGCTGTAAAAATTGCCTTAAAAAGCCACATCATTGATAAAATTACACAATTTATCAATTTTCTTGCTGTTGCGAATGAAACAAAAACACAAAAAAACCCAAGGAAATTTACGTTTGTTTGTTATCGATCCACAGATTAAGTTCTCTTAGCCTTAATTTACTATTTTTGGATATAATGAAAATTCAGGGTTTTCCGAATAATTATCAGAAGATTCTTAACTATCAAAGACATTCAAGTAATCCTAACAAATCCAAAAGACTCAATGACGAATTTAATTAAAAACTTTCCCTCAAGATGTGTGACTTAATGCGTTGACAATAAAAACCTTAAATATTAATAAATGATAAATTTCAATGTCACAATCCAAAGTCCAAAATCAAATAAGGAAAGCGGGACTTTAGAATTCAATTGATTGCAATAAAATTTAAAAGAAGTCGAGCAAATTCCAAATGTGCGAGAGTTTCGAAGTGAAAACAACAGCTGTGCTTTTATTTTTAAAGCACTCTAATGTCTGATATGATAAGAAGTTTACGTATTTTGATTACAAGTGTTTCAATGTGCCGGTGTTTCCCAAAAGCCTTAAACCTGATTATGTTGTTTAGCACTAATTCCAAGCCTTTAATCTATCAAAATAGTCAACACACCCAAATATAAAAAAAATAGTTCACATTATCTCTAAATTTGCCGATTGTATACTTTGAAGGACGTCCGAAACGACCCTAAACTTTACAACCCGATTCGTGATCAAAATTAAAATAAATTTGCTCACTCAATTATGAAATTGAGAACAGAAATTCTTTTGTTAATCATTCGTCATTATATGTCGTGATCATCGCATGATGTTGATAACGTAATTCACGAATAGCTAAGCAAAATTTATTGGGAATATTATACGCAAATCACGTTTATCAATCAAATCTATTTCGTCTTTCTTTCCCATACGTAAAAAATGTGATTGAACTGAATAGATTTCATTGATAATGTGCATGTTTGTGATAACGACGAGACATCTGATGATGATACATTGACGCACTGATTGTTGCTGTGGAAGCCTTATTTTTGTTGAGAGAGATTAAGGGAGTTGTTTGGCAATAATGGAAATGATTGCAGGAGTTCTGCACTGATTTTGTGACAAAGGGTTAGAATCTTTAAAAGATTCAAAATGTTGTATTTCATTATGTTCTCCAATTATTCCAAAAATCTTTTAGAACTTCATTTAAGTATTAACCTCATTTACGAATGACCCGAAAGAGAATAAAAATTTCCATAGAAATTTAAATTAGAAGAGAATTGCGAATAATTCAATTTCACTTTGACTTGCTGATTAAGTTAATATGCAAAGAAAAGCGAGTGCCTTTTTATCAAAATGATTCACGTGTCGCGGTCAACGATGTGTTATTACTGTGTTGTGTTCTTTTGTTTGATAAACACTCTTTTTACGAAATGCAATTTAATGGATATGGGTTAATTGATTCCAACTTACTCTTTGTTGAAAAGGAATTAAAGTTTTGATTATACTGGAAATTTCTACTATTTATTCTGGAATAAATCAGGAAAGCTTGAACTATTGATTAATATGCCTGAGAATCACATGCCAAACCCTAATAGCAATGGTAGCTGTATTATAGCTAACTTTAACGAGCGTTTACATTCGTTAATCAAATAATCTCGAAGAAATTTATCATTTTCGCATAAAAAATTATCGAGAAAAGGCAATTCCAAGACTCATATGTAAATATACATTTTTTCGCGATTTTTAACCTTGATGATATTCTATAACATGTAGATAAAGCTCTTCTCATAATATTTAGATGTTCTTTCTCTCTTTTTCGCATTTTGAATTTAAATTAGAACTTACAGAAATAGAAATTTTTCATTTCGTTTATTTAAAGTCACATTATTTGTTCATGCGAGATCTTTTATGACTTTTGAGCAACGTTTGAGTGATGGGAAGTTGGGAGTTGAGATATTTTTGAAAGAACTTGATGAATTAACTGTGATTTTTGTTCAGGAGTTGAGGATTGGCTCAATTTAAGTTTTTTTTTGATTTATTTGATTTATTTGTATATAATTTTACAATTGAGATACAAAATATAAATTCTTATGACTAGCTATCGCTAGCTATATGACATTACATTTTATTAATTTCACAATAAGATTCGTAAAAATGCTCTTTTATTCTAGTTTGTTCATTAACCATTCCAGTTAATTAAAACAAATCCGAAAAATCAAGTAGCAAAAAAACTCATTGACATCAAATCCAGAACTAAATCCTTTTGAAAACAATTCATTAATATAATTCTACCAACAGATCAATCAAGCACCTCAATGCATTTGCTAGAAACGTGACAAAAGTCAGTTCAGAAGTCAAGTTCAAGTTATTCACAAGTTTTCTGAATTTTTCCCTTTTAATCTTTTTAAAACTAGCAAACTGATTGAATTAATTTAATGGAACTGAATTCATAAATGAAGTATTTGCATCTTGAATGTAATAAACTTTATAATCGACTGTATTGAAGCTTAAAGCTGAATATTTAATTATTGATTCTTTCTTTTGCAAAAAACTGTTCTTTTGTTTAGATTTAAAAGTTAATAGATTCCTAATTGCAAAGCCCGTTAGCTGTTTGATGCTTTTAATTCATACTTGACGCTCTAAAATGCTTTGATTAGTCACAACTTTGCTGAGTAAATTACGTTTCAGTCAAAACTTTGTGACTTATGAGTGTCTATACTTGATGCCAATAACCTCATAAAATTTGATAGGAAAATTTATAAATGTCAAGTGCCAACAATTATAGACTGACAAAAAAGCATTTTATTCGCAGAAATCAAGTTTACATGCTCTCAATCCATCAAAATTTCATCTGACATCTTTTTAATCCCCAACCAAATCATTTTAAATGCGAACGTCTCCAGTAAAAAGCAACAAAAAAAAAACTAAAGTGACTTCCAATTAGTATAAAAATTTATGTAAATGAGACATGCAAACAATTCTCATTAGCAAGCATGTCACAAACATTCCGCAAGCAAGCAATCCACATTCAACAGATGGCTTCTTCATCATCATTTCGCACTGCATACTATTTTGCGCAATCTCGTAATTTTCCCCAAAAATGCGACATTGTCCTGCTTGTTGCTCTCAAGGAAGCAATATAATGAAAAATTTCCTCGTGCCTTAAATTTTTTAGCTGAATAATTTAGACGATAAAGAATTCTTGATGCATGTGGGAATGTTTTCAAGTGCTTCTTGATATTTCTTTTATACGTACACGTGTGGATCATTGAATTATGGTGACGGAAATCGATTTTCTTAAAATCAGCTGGGAAAAGCTGTGCATAAACGAAGAGAAAGTGGCAAATTATAAATCCTTGACATTATTTCAAGTTCTTTTCATTAATTTCGCATTTCCTCTTTTATTTGCAGATATACATTATTTCTGGAAGTTAAATAATACTAAAGAAGCATAATGGCACCTCGTGAAATTGTTAAACAGAACGAAATATCCGTCAGTGGAGTTCTGAATGAAAATGACGTAGAAACAGTTGACGGTGGATTAAAAACACAAGCAAAAGGAATTGCCAAACGCAGACACCTAAAACTCGTATGGCGTAATATTATACTCTTTGCATACCTACATTTCGCTGCAGTCTACGGACTATGGCTTATGTTTTTCTCTGCAAAATGGGCAACAGGAATATTCGGTGAGTTTCTTTATGCTGTACATTGGAATCTATAACTTACTGTCATCTATTTTGATTAGCTATGGTCTTCTACTCAATGTCTGGCTTGGGAATTACCGCCGGTGCTCATCGACTTTGGGCACATAAAGCATATAAAGCCAAATGGCCATTGCGTCTTATTCTGATGATCTTCAATACTATTGCCTTCCAAGATTGTGCTATCCATTGGTCAAGAGATCATCGTGTCCATCACAAATACAGGTAATATCTTCAAGGTCCTATAAATGATGAAATAAATCACAAAACATTTTAATGTTCCAGTGAAACTGATGCTGATCCACATAATGCAACTCGTGGCTTCTTCTTCTCTCACATTGGCTGGCTCTTATGTCGCAAACATCCCGATGTCATTGCAGCTGGAAAGAAACTTGACATTTCAGACTTGGAAAATGACCCAATTTTGGCTTTCCAAAGAAAATATTACTTGATCCTTATGCCAATCTTTTGCTTCATCCTTCCAACAGTCATGCCAGTCTACTTGTGGGGAGAAACTTGGGGTAATGCATGGTTTGTGGCCACTATGTTCCGATACTGTTTCATTTTGAATGTAACATGGTGCGTTAACAGTGCTGCACATAAATGGGGTGATAAGCCTTATGACCAGTAAGTGACTTTTACCTAAGATTATTTTGTATGATTTATTTACATTATTGTTATTTGTAGAAACATTAATCCAGTTGAAAATATGGGAGTTGCCATTTTTGCTCTCGGTGAAGGCTTCCACAACTACCATCATGTAAGTTTTGTAATTTGAGAAGCTGTTGACTTCTTTCCTTGTTTATAAGATTGGTATCAAAATAATTGATTGCTTTTATTGCTGCATAAAGTGATTAATCGATAATTTTGCGATTTATTGCTGATTTTATTTGACACAGCAAGTGATTTATAGATGCTTTAAAGCTCATTTAAGAAATTAAAATCATATTGACATTCATTTTTGTAACGACTTTTAAATATTTGAATTAAATTTGTATTTTGAAATTTCGCATCTCTTGAAGAGAAGCAAAAATTCAAAATAACAAAAAGCCGATAGAATTCAATTTTTTAAAAAGACGTTAAAACTTGAATCGAATTTAAATTGATTGACAAAATCATATGCAGGTCTTCCCATGGGACTACAAAACAGCCGAACTGGGCAACTACAGAATGAATTTCACAACAGCATTTATTGATTTCTTTGCTAAAATCGGATGGGCTTATGATCTCAAGACAGTCTCAAAAGACATCATTAAGAAGCGTGCTGAAAGAACAGGAGACGGTAGTCATCTATTGTGGGGCTATGGAGATACAGACCAAAATCAAGATGAAAAAGAAATGATTCCAATAATTAACAAGAAAGATGATTAGATTTATTAGAGAGAATAATATGGCAACTTTAAATCAGATGTTTAATTTTTAGTGATTTACGAATGAACTTTATCTTGTGTCTAACAGAATTGTAGAGTAGAATTGAATTTTCATAGATATGGATTAATTATTGAGAATGGATCTCCAGTGAACGACACTTTTTTACGTAAATTTATAATCACTGTTCATGTTTCATTCTTTTTGAGGATAAATTGCCATAAATATCCCCAAAAATCATACAAATACTGGAATCAGGTCTTCAATTAATTTTCACTGGATCAAGAATATATTTATAATGAGCTATATTTTCTCACTATTGCGAAATACAAAGAAAAACTTAATATTAACAAAATAAAAAGAATTTGAAAGGAAGTAAAGCATTAAGGGTAAAATGAACTGAATTGGAATGCTGGAAAATATGGACTGGTAAACAAAACAAATTAATAGAAACTTTAGAGATATTCATGTGTAATTTTTATTATTAATAATATTATTTGTCTATTGTGAAACGTAGTAAATTCCATTATTAATATGTGCTGCTCGCAATCTTGCACCTTAAAATTTTATGTAATTCATCAGAAACAAGCATTAATACACATGAAAATATATTTGTTGAGCAGCATTGACATTAATAAACTAAAAAACTATGAGAAAAAAGATAATGCAGACTTAATTATTTTATTACTTTCAGGATCTATGAAAATAACGTCCTTTTTGGTTTTGAATTTTTAACGGTTTTGGAAATTTGAATTATTGCGTCTTTTTCGGAGATGCGAAAATTTGAATTTCATATGTTCGTTAAAATCTATACTCTTAGAAACCGTTTAAACTAAAATCCCACAAGTGACCTGAAATCAAGCTATAAGCAACATAAAAACAAAGAATTTTATAAAAATCCGCTCAAAATTTTATTCTGACTCCATCACAACAATCCTAATAGTCTCTATCTCAAAATTTACTTCTTGCTCTTCTCAATCTCAATTTCCTTGGCTTCCCATTCAGGAATATCCTTCAACTTTATGTCTGCAAATGTACCATGTCTTCCTATTTTATCCTTGCTGAATTTCAGAGCTCCAACTTTCGCCTCTTCGAGTACTTCTGGTCCACTTGACATTAATTCGAAATCTAAAGCTTCATCCTTGTTGTTGGCATTAAAGACTGTATTGAAAAGACTAGTGCGATCGTGATTGACACAAGCTTGTGGGAATTTAGCAATTGACTGGGCCAAATTCAATGCTTGTCCTAAGGAAGTTCCCGTTGCTACAACTCGATTAGCTAATCCGATTTCGAGTGCTTCCTTTGATGTAATTTGACGACCAGTCAGCACCAAATCAAGTGCTCTAGAAAGTCCAATCATTGGAGCAAGACGAACAGTACCACCATCGACTAAAGGAACTCCAAAACGTCTATTAAAGAATCCCATAATTGCATCAGTTTCCATAACTCGTAAATCACATAATAATGCAAGTTCAAGGCCACCAGCAACGCAATATCCATTCACTGCTGCAATCATCGGTTTCTTAATCATTCTTCGGGTTGGACCCTAAAAAATGAATTATTAAGCATGTTCATTTACAACATCCAGAAGTCAAAATACAATATAGTTCCAAATGTCTTACCATAGCACCTTCGGATCTCATCAAAATGTTTGTAACATTCTCTGGATCATCTGACAATTCTTTAAGATCATAACCGGCACTAAAATTGCCTCCTACGCCGTATAAAACAGCAATTGGTGATTCTGGATCATTTTCAAATGCTTCAATTACTGCTGAAAGTTCTGTTGCTGCTTCTGTATTTATACAGTTCCTTACATCTGGTCTATTAATGCCGATTAATGTCACTGTTCCTGTTTTCTCTATCTTAATTATCGGTTCTACTGGACTTTCTTCCTGTTTCTCTTCTGTTTGTTGATTTTTTGGATCTGAAATATTTTTTTGGTGAATTAAAGAATTTATTGACATTTTAATGACTTCCTACCTGAATCTTTAGCTGCACAGTATGTTCGACTTGATGATATGAAGCCTGTCAAGGCTCTATATCCTGTAGATTTAATGATATTCGTAATTTTCAGCATTGTTTACGTTTTTGCTCCTATTTTTCAGCTCACTCATACATTTGCAAGAACTCACACACAGACAAAGGAAGTGTTTATACACGGATTACTAATGCGAGGTTGGTAAAGAGGTGGGCAATCGAGTGTAACGGCTGTAGAAAATTTGAATTTAACGCGCGTGGTATGTGAGTTATTTTTGCGCATTATGTGAAAAAATAGAAACCGTCAAAACCAAGCCACGTGGATAATCACATTTTCTGAAAATTGAAAAGCAGGAAATAATTGAAAGACATTTTGTTTAATAATAAGTTTTTCATCCGTTTTTTTATTTTAATTGTTTTTTCCTTGCATTGAATTGAAACGCTACATTTATTAAAATAATTATTACAAAAAGAACATCTGCATCTTTAATATCGGCTTATCAAAAAGAAAAATTATGTACTGCTAAAAGTACTGCGAAAAATTTGTATTGTGGATGGATTTTTTGCACATATTTTTAATTTCACTTATTTCGTCCGTTTTTCTATGCTTTTTATTTCTTATCAATAACTTCAATAACTAAATTATGTAGACATTAAATTTGATTGAATTATTAACTAATCCAATATGCATGACATCAACAAAATAGCGAAAAAAATGCGTTAATAATAATCAATAGTAATAAGTAATGATGAACATTAATAAGCTCAAAAATGCTTAAATTTAGTGCGCAAAACATAAAAATTGTTGGCATGTTTAAGGGAAGAATGAAGAATAGGAAAACAAATTTTTATCATTTTTCATGGCTTTTCTTTTTGGCATAAAACATAAAGTAATGCGATAGCATGAACAATGATTTCATAAATATTTGGTGAATGATTAACAATAGGTATCACCCAGGGAACAAGGAACTGATTAGCTTTGAATTTGTTTTGAGGTTAGGTTTTCTGAATTATCAACATCAAGAAAATCATGCAAGAGCTTCTTATGTTCAGATTGACTTTAGATGACCTGATCTATGACTTTTTATGGTTTGAGGAGGAAAGGATATACAAACAACTGAGTCAAGCAATCCGAAGAACGGTTATTTGGATAAATCCTGGTCATATATCCTAAAATTACACAGGTAATTCAATACTGCGAATAAGTTCAGGAATTAACCTTGTCCATTGCATTTTAGAGACACTTAGGATGTCTAAAATCTAAGCTTTGATCAGTAAATCCAAAAACAGAGCTCGAAATCGCCAAGAATTTAATACAAAGTCAAGTCGACTTCATGTTCTCTTCAAAGCTTAAAAGAAATATACCTCATCAGTTCTTTATTACCTGGATGTAAAGAAATAACGCTTGAATTGGTAATTTAACATAAAAATGAAAGAATCATTAAAAAGGAGCAAATAACTATAAAATGCTCAATAAAACAAGAATTGCACTAAAGTTTCTTATCATATCTCATTTTACCTCATTCTCAATTGTAGCAAATCTACATAAAAAGCATTAATTTTTTCATAATTTTTTCAATTTCCATAAAATATCATAAGTTTGTTTTTCTTTATGAATATATACAACAATTTATCAATATAATAATATAATCAATATATTTAGCAGAAGAGCACATTAAATTTTACAATGTTATAAATATCATTTTTTATTGCACATTTAGATTTATCAATTGTTTATTTGCTGGGAGTTGGTTAAATGGTTTTTTGAGGTTAAGTTTTTTTTTGAATTTTTGAGGTTAGCTTTTCAAAATTTTTGTAATTTTTTGAAATCTTTTGAAAATAATTTTATGTAAAATTGTTACTTAATTTGAAGTATTTCATAGCTTTTAAAATGATTTCAACGAAAACTTACTAAACCTAGTTACTAGCTTTCAAAAAATTCGATTATCCGACCCAAGTTAAAGCTTCAATTTTTGAATTTTGATCTTCTAAGGTTTTCAAAACTCAAATTTTACTTCAGAATTCATAAAATTTGTTTAAAACCTTTAAAAAGCATCAAAAAACTAGAAAATCTTCAAAATTTTACGAAAGTTTTAAAAAAACTCGATCAACCGACCCTTCAAACCCACTCCAACTCCCACAATTTTTTTCCTCGTCATTTTTCAATCAAATGCAAAAAATTTTTCCTACAGCGAAATTTTTTTTAAAATATTTTTCTCATTTTTTTATTTAAAAAAATTTTAATTTCATCAAAAATTAGGGTTTCTGAAAAACGGCATTTTTAAAAAACGGCCGTTTCCGTTTTATTCCAAAAAACGGCCGTTAACGGGTCCGTTTTTTTAATTGTACCGAAATTGTGTTTTATGCACGGTTTTAGTCACATACTGTAATTTTTGTCAAAAAACGAACTTATTACAGTGTATTGTGTCTAAAAAAACTTTTATCTACACTGTTTTTTCGTTATAAGCTACTAATCGTTACTAAGCTACTAGCTTAGGAAAGTTTTTTTGAACTTGAAATTTTTTTGTAATCTTTACTAAGGTACTACCAAAAATAAAGCTTAATTAATCTTTTTCAACTTTTTAAGTATCAGTCTCAATGCCTTATGACATTATCAATGAAATAAAATCGAGAAGATAGCAAAATTTCTTTAATAAAGTTAAAAAATTCAAAATTTTCCTTTAAGTTTAATTTCTTTACTAAGCTTCTACTCGTTCCTAAGCTACTAGTGAGCCAAAAAATCACTTTTTTTATTCTTCTAAGCTACTAGCTTATAACGAAAAAACAGGATACTTCAAACTTTAAAAATATTTAAACATCAAGTAGTCGTTACAAAACTTTACAACTTAAATTTAATGAGTATGAAAGAATTATTGGAGTTAATATTATTTTATTCTGAACCTAAAATTTTCACGAGCTAGAAAAGAAAAACGGAAAAAACGGCTAGAAAAAAACAGCCGTTTTACGTTTTTATTTTTCTCTGAAAAACAGCCGTTTTTCCGTTTCCGTTAACGGCTTCAGAAACCCTATCAAAAATGTTGACTAGCTTGTTAGATTAGAAATAGATTTTCTTTAAATTTTCATGAGTTGATCTCTACTTAATGTCGTCATCATTGTACTTCAAGAAAATTTATTCTTATTTTTCATTTATCGCTTAAATCTTAATGATATGAATTGATTTGTTTTTTAATAAAAAAAATTCTGACTTTATTCCGAGATTTTTTGTTTGTAAGCAGGATGTTTGGAAGCTTTTTTATGTGAGATGGGAAGTCGAATGTGTTTTGGGATTTGAGTGGCATATTTAAGATCTTTTTTGGTGTTTTTGTAGCTAAGGAATCGGATTGTATCTGGAGTATTGATCTAAGATCAAATGTCAAGCTATGTCCGGAAGTTTATCATACAAAACCTAGCTCCAAATATTCAAAAAGCCTTTTAAAACCTTTTAGCCATGTGTTTTGACCTTAATATCATCAAACTTTAAAGATATTCCTTCATTACCACCCACCCAAGGTCCTTAACTTCACAGCTTTAATAATTCATTCAAAAAGAAAATTTCCATCATGCTGCAGCAGTTCTTTTATCCATGTATCATTGATATACAATTTACAGTCATCTTCTCGTGTATAAAAGAAAGATCTCAAGAGCAATGACCTTGCCATAAGATACGTTTTGCTTCTATCACATATTATTCCATCTTAAGGATTAAAGAAATGACAAAGGAACGTTTTGTAACATGAATATCTACTTGACCTTATGTTCAGCATTCAAATTGAGCTTTTTTTTTGTAAGAAATAACAGGTCGTGATGGAGATTTAAGTGCCAAGACAATTTGGATGTAATTCAATTCATTTTGTAGATGGCAATTGAGTAATTCAAGATGTTTCGATGATTTTCAAGTCATATTGTCTTTAACAAAAGCTTCTCAGTTGGATCTTTGAGCATCATAATTAGTATTAAGGATAGAATTAAGAGAGTATGTCCTTAATAAATACTAGAAACCAAAGTTCTATCTAGTTTAAAGTCTTCTTGACTAGAATTGGAAGTGGTCGATTAAACCTACGTTGTTCTTTGAATCCTTGATGTTCTGTAGCTGTCTGTAGAACTATAATCTTCCTAGAGTTGGCTATATTTTATGAAGCACCAAGCGACTAGCCCATACCTTACTAAACCATCACATATTCAACATCTCATCTCATCATATTTTTGATATCCTGCTTATTAGTCAATTTTCAAGCGATTGAAATACCTTTATGGCTAATTCCAAAAATATTCATTCAAATACTTACGAAAAATACTTGCGAAGCACACAGTCAAGCCAATTGCACTCTTCTTGATTTAAAATAATCATTTCTGATTCAATCATATACAGCATAACCATTTATTGAATCGAACTATGAAGTCTTCATGTACGTAAGCATTTTTTTTTAAAAAGCCACTAAACTTTCGCCAGCCTTCCAATATGACCATAATGGTAATTTCATCACTCGCTCTATCTCTCGCATTGCACATTTCTCTATTTTTTTTTGCATAATTTTTTATCTGAAGCCATAAATTTTCATTCCTTATCGTATCGCAATGACCTTAATCTAATATTGAAAATGGATTCCTCTCGATTTTAATATAAATGAGAATGAAAAAAAAAGTAAGGGATGGTAAGGAGGCGAATATTATTCAATTGATGGACGTCAATTTATAGACATGATGCACATTTGCACACAGCACTTTGAGAGTTTGATGAGAAGATAGAGAGCACATGAGCAGCATTCATACATAAATTTATATCTAGTTCTTTCAATTTACATACATAGTATATGAGAATATATATATTTATGGAGAGAAATAGACAGTTATGAGTCAATTTATTTAAGTCTTTGTGTAACATTTGCTAAAGCAACGCTAAACGCTTGTAATGCCGAGAAAGGATATTGGAAATCCAGCGTGTAAGCATTGCCATCGATTCGACCAAATTGCATTACCTGGATTGGATAGAAATGAATAGAATTATTAGAATTTATGCTATAAATATGAATAATTTATGTCTGAGATAGTTGTTTTGTTGGATATGGAATTGAGGATAAATAAATTGGTCTGGAAGATATTGTTGTGAATTGATGCAGCTGGGGTAAATCTTAAATTATGTATCATTGTTGGGAATTAGCTAAATGCTGGAATTCAAAGCTAAAACCAGGCATGTACTTAATCCCAGACTAGTCCTTATCCATGTCACTCCCAACAACAACGTCCAGCTAAGGGGCCGTTCACTTATGACGTCCGACATTTAGGGGGGGAGGGGGTCTAGGATTTTGTGACAGTTCAAACAATGGAATTTTTTTTTCTACAGAATTTTTGTGACAGAGGGGGGTGGGGGGTCTAAAAATCAGGTTTTTTGATGGACGTCATAAGTGAACGAACCCTAACAAGAATAAAATCAAAACTTACTTGTTTGCCTCGAAATTCAATCTGGAAATTTTTTGCCGATTCCTGTGTAACACGTCCTCCGAAATCCAACTGATAAACTTGGCTGTTTTCATTCCACATAGGTGCTATACATAAAGTATAATCCAATGTTATTGTTATTATATTATTAGATGATATAAAGAATAAATAAATGATGAGGAAGAGATTACATTCGAGCATGGGAAAAAATCGTTATTCAAATTGAGAAAACAACAAAAAACGGAACTAACCTTTGTTATACATCACGAACTCACGACGTACTGGTACAATATGTGTAGATGCTGTAGATGTACCGTTCGGCTCAATTTTCCCACGTTTCAGCTGTAAATTTTTCATATAAATTCAAGTCAAATTTTTTTATTAAATTCATTTCTCTCACCTTCTGACGTAATTGAGCCTTTTGGAATGTTTCCAAGTCATGATAGCCACTCTTTCCATTTGATGACGTTCCATTGTTGTTGCCATTGTCACCATCTTCATTTCCATCTTCATCAGAGCTTTCAAGTGCTTGCTTTTTGCACTTTCGACGATTTAAAAGAGGTGAATTGAGAATGTGACGAATAGGCGATGAGCTTTGTTGTCTTTTATTCTTCTTATTTGGTGCTGGGGATGAGGGTGAACTTCTCGGATGACGTGGTGAACTTGGGGGTGGTTGTTGTAAATTTGATCTGTCATCATCGAGATCTCTCAATCGACTAATGATGTTCTCCAATGTTGTCATAGCCTACATGAAGTGGAACATGACATTATTAAACATTCATTTATTTTTCTTTCTTTCCTCCTTTATTTGAGGATGTAAATTGCAAATTTTGTCCTTCACTAAGCGTGTATAATGTTTTATTCAACGAAGCTTGGATTGTTTCCTCGAAAGCTTTTTTTATGTCATCAAAATGGCAAAAAAAGGTTTTTTTTCGAATAATCACGTTGTCAACATTGACAAGTTTACAATTAACAATTGTTCTGTCGTAGGATATTCAATTAAAATTCAATGATGCTTAACATGGTGAAAACAATCACAGCTATGTATAATTAAAATGTCATTTTAATGGATTTTTGGATGCTTGTGCTTTATTTTGTGAAAATTAATTTTTGATGAATGTAAAAAAATTACAGAAGCCCTCGTGTTATTGATCAAGGGACTTAAGCGCATTCGATGGGCCGATAAATCGATAGTAACGGAGATAATAAAACAAACGCGATCTCTCTACGATGTCTTATTAAAAAGTTTTTCTTCTCCCGAGTAGCCGAACAGCCGAAGTGTATTATTAAGCTACCTTTTAGAAACAAGTTTCAAAAATGCACTAAAAACACAAAAGGTTTCGCATCACTTTTTGCATCATTTTCGCATCTTTTTACACCATTTTCTAATAATTTTAGCAACAATTACCTGCGTATGCAATGAAACGGAAGTTTTAGCTTCAACTGGTGTACATTCAACTCCAGAAGAACTAGCTTGTCCACCATCACTCGAACTACTACTTCGATTATCACTCCGCCTACTCATAATTGGTGTATTTTGTTCACTTTGCAGCTGTGCACGACCTCCATTATTATTGTTGTCTATCACCGACGATGATGTGGATGGTATTGCACCAAAATCATTTTTAGAAGCACGATATTTCCGCGAGAAAAGTGGACTGTCTGTAAAGCTTGTTATTATCTCTAAGTTTTTATTTCGCTTTTGCTCTCCTCGTGACGTCTTACTACACTCGCCGACGAAATCATTCTGTGTAGTTGACTTCTTATTCCATTTCGGTATTACAGGCGGTTTTGACGTAAGCGGCTGTTGATTCTCATTATTGCATTTTAAGCACGAAACACTTAAGCATGTACAATCTTTATTATTCTTTGATTTTCGTCCTAAAATTGGCGTTCCTGAACGTGAACTAAAAAAGCTACAAAATTTCTCCTTCGGACTTTTCTTCGGTGTCGATGTACATTTATTCTTATTCTTTAAAGCATTTACATTGGTATTTGATAATTCTGTAGACGATAGCTCCGTGTCTTCAGATGATTCTGCCAATTTTGGCATTTGATTGAATAGATTATTGAGATCTTTATGTAGATTCGGTATATCTTGAAGGGCATCACAACAATCAAGGCTAAATGACTTTTTAAAATTCCTATTATGCTGCAATTGCTGAATACATCGGCGATTTTGGGTTGGAATTCTTCGATATTTACGATTAGCTTGAATTTTCCTATCTACTAGTACGAGTCGCTTTGGTGCATCCTTCCTTAATTGTGATAACGTCACTTCCCCCGGCGTCAACTCAAAATTATCTAAATATCCTACACTACAGCTACGGGTTATAATATCAGGTATTGTCGGACATATCGATGCGACTGTCTGTGTGCGATTCATCGTGCCATTTGATGGAATGATGTCAGTTTGTGTAATTGGCGTTTGACTTGATGTCGACGGTGTTGGCTCATCATCAATATATTGCATATCTTTCTTCTTAATCGCACCTTTTGACTTACTGTCAATTATTCTCTCAAGATTTAAATTTAAATTAAGTGGAACTGGATTAACGTGTGACGTTTGTCGCGTGTGATCATTAATTAATGCATTCTTAACCTGAACAACATTATTGGAATAATCAGTATTACTAGAATAACTCATTAGTGTCGTTTGACCTCCAACGGGGGGTCGCTCAAAAATTATATCGCTTGGTGCGACAGCATTTTTGGGCGATTGTAATGTTGGCACCGATTGGTCACAATAAAGTGGCGATATAGCAACTCGAGATTGATTTGTGGATGACGATGATGATGATGATCGACCGTATGAACTGATTAAATTTGAATAGCTTATTCCTTGCTTTGCAGGAGCAACAGGTGTTTCCATTAAATCATCTTCATAACTCTCAGCTTTTGCTAATGGCCCGAGAGATCGTGGTGGATTAACAGAACCAGATGCAGCTGTACTTGATGATGGTATTGATGAGTTATTACTATTACTATTTATAGCTAAAGGCGATGGTCTTCGTGTGTTACGTGTTGATGGAAAACGATTCGGTCGGGGTGACATTGGAGCGATTGGTGGATGCGATGATGATCCTGATGATGATGATGGAGTTCCATTAGTATTATTATGCGATGAGGTCTCTCGATTTTTCTTATTAACTTTCGGACTCTGTTAGGAACAGAACAAAATGAATAAATTTTGTATGGAATGTGTGTTCAGCAGACGGAAAAGTTAAGGGATGTAACATGTTACACCTCCTTAGGCATAAACAATAAGTAAGAATAAAATCAATTTACCTTTAAATTACATTCATCTTCATCTTCAGAGAAGATGTTTGGATTAAAATTTGGGTCGGGTCCAACAGGAAAATCATCTCTCAATTCCGTTATAACTAAAGTCATTTGACGAGGCTGAAGATGTAGTAAGGATGTCTTGTAAGTCACTTGACCCAAATTTGCAGGCAATGAAGATTTTGTTAGGCCATGAATTTTGAATTTCGTTCCCCAGATATTTGATGTTACTTCAACCAATTTCATGTGCTCGGGTAATGTATCGACATATGCCATCTCATCAGGAGTCGGTTCACTTACATCCGATATGGGATTTTGTGACTTTTCTATAGTCGAGCGTTTTTTTGTTCGCGTTTTTCTCTTGCGTTGCATACGTGGGGAGCCTGTGTTAAGGAGTTGATTAGACAAGAAAAATAACAGCAAGTAAGTAGGTGTGCTTCTGTTATGCATGAGTAAGGCATTTACGATTTCAAAAAGGTACAAAAATTTAAATAATTTATGCAAGCGAGTCAACAGTAAATTGGAATCGAAATCCCTTTGCTTTTCACACTACATGCCTTCTTCCCACATGATAATAACGTAAGGAGTTAAAAAGAGTAAATTTGTTGAGCTTGAATGTTCACAAAGTGCGTAAGAATTTCATATTCTGTAAGCGAATTTTAATTTTTCAAACAAACGTGATTGATGTGGGATTAGACTTTGCTTTTTTTTCGTGGATATTCCCACCTCGAATTTTTGAGTTGAAAATTTTATTGAAATTGTAGATGTTTTGTGAGTTATTTTTGTTTTTTAATGTTTTTCAAGACGGAGCAAGAAAGCTTATGAACATTTGAAGTTATCAGTTTCTGTTGAATATTGAAAAAAGCTTATTTATGGTTTTTTTGCTGCAAATGCCGCCATTTTGTTTCCAATTACTAAACAATATTTAAATAATTTTTAAACGAATCTTCAAAACTTTAATCATGGATACGCATTTTTATGGACAAAACAGAAGTCAACTCGATCCTATTTTCCTCAGGATGTTTATCCTTTTGAGATACACACATCCACATAAAATCAAACAATGAATGTCATCAAATAAGAAGCAAATAATACTTACGACACAAATCATCCGATTCACTCTCAGATGTATCAGTGTTTCCATTTCTCCCACTTCCATTTGTTGACTGACATGATGATGACAAACTCTTATTTGTAGTCGAATCAGAAGAGCTTGTTGAAATTGAATTTGTTACCTCTTCGCCTTGTGGATCAAAAATGACAAATTCAGGACGGATCTTAGACGTCCTTTTACCTTTGAGTAATGGCACAAGTCCACCCATAAATTCCAAATACAATGTATAGCATGTTCCAGAGCTTTGATTTTCATCATCATGCCTTATCATTGTACAATGGAGTCGTGTTGAACAAGCTGGTGGTCGCGAAACAAAGTCACGTATGTTATACTTATTATTCGGCACGCAACATCGAATAGTTTGAGCAAAGAGATTACCAATGAGCGATTTCATGCGCGCTGGTAATGGTAACTTTGGTAGTAAGGCTTCCGATGATAAACATTGTTGAATTTTTAATCGACATATAAGCTGGAGTGATGCAACACGCCTCGAGACCCATGCTATGTGAACTTGATTGCCCGTTGCGATAAATATCCGACGATCGTTATGTCCCCACGTTAAGGCTGTTACAGGTGACTGTGGAGTTATTGAGTGAGAGGAAATATGATTAGTATTTTTGGGAATGAATTTTTTCAAGGGATGGAAACTTATTCAACTTACATTTGTATTAGGAATCTTAGCTGTATATAAAATTTGTCCAGTTTCTGTATAAAATTTCAAAGAATTATTAAAATGCGTTCCCATCGTCTCCTTCTTAAAAAATTTCCCATCATTTTCGGTTCCAGCTACGGCCAAAAGTTCTCTCGAGTTGCTCCACTCCATGCAGAATCCTTCACATAATCCTGTATTGATGTATAATGGTGATAAGTCATCAAATGACTTTAACAAATAAATCGATCCATTTTGAAAGCTGACAGCAAGCACAAAGGAACGATTTGCAGCATTTTTAACACCCGGCTCAGTGTCACCTTCTTCCATTTTGAACTTTTCGCATGACCATGCCATTGATGTGATTCCGAATTCTGATGATAATTGCACCTGAGACACCATTGCACCGTGTACATCCATCACAATGATTTGACCATGTGTTGTGCCAAAATAAACTTGCTGATCATCCGGTGTCCATAGACCGCACGTAATTGTTGCATCGAGATTTAACATTGATGACCAATATCGTTGTCCAGCAACAGAACCAACAAGCACAAATCCATCCTGATATGTAATCAGTGCCATTCTACCGTCATGGGACCATGAGAAGTGCGTTACTGGCGTATTTCTGTCATTAATTAACTCAACACTCCATCGACCTTCATATTTAATCCATACAAAAATTATACCGGAACTATCGCACGATGCCAATTTTTGATAAGGCTCATTCCATTTTACTAATATAACCTGAGGGAAAATTTTGAATGCACAACTTATTTTATTTACACATAATTCTGATTAAATGTTTATCCTTACATCTGACCGGTGTCCGCGTAAATTATAATTCGTCCTTTGTGGATATTCTACATTCTTTTTACAATGTGATGTTGAGAATGTAACACCAACAATGCCACGTGTATTTCCCGTTGCCAACCAGCCTTCTTGGTAATAATTTGTTCGATTCAGCTTCCATCCTTCCTCCTATTTAATGAGAATGGAAATGAGAGAAAAATTAATGATAATGAAGATTGTGGATAGATACTAGGAAGGGGTATGTGGTATGTACGATGGTTTGTTTTGTAGTTGCTGCAGGACTCTTCATTGAAGGTCAATTCCATTCATCCATCTTTTGATGGTCTTGAACTAAATCCCCCCACCCGCTTCCTCCCTTTGGATGAATAGCTAACTTAATGCCATAATAAAATCAATAAAAATTCAATGCGTGGTCGAGGCTCTCGAAATACACAAAACAGACAAACATTGAGAATTATCGAAACCACTAAACATGTAATCTGAACGATGATGAATGATGAATGATTAATGAATACAATTATGATATCTGAGCGAAGAGGGAGGTAATGAAAGCATCGTTAAGACACACACAAGGCAGAATACTTGTATCAATTTTTATCAAACTGATGAGCTTAAGTGTAATTAAGGACTAAAAATGTTTTTTAATTATGGATCATTTGGAATTAGGAGAAATTCAATTTGCTTTTTTTTGATGAGTTTATTGGCTTTGCGGGGATTTTTTTGATGAAGTTTTGTGGAATATTGAAAATATTGAGCTAGAATTGATGTTCTTTATGTGAATAAACACATTTTCACTTCCAAAAAGCAATTAAACTTCAAACAATTAAAAACTATTCAGTTCACAAAACATTCTTTGTTAAGTCAAAAACTGCCAGAAAAACGACCGAAAATTGTTCCGAGAACATTACTTTCGTTATTGTTTGTCCTAAAAGTTTCATTTTCAGCTCCTGGCAAATTGCTTCCAACAATCAATATCATGTCACAAAACAGATTCAATTAGAAGAGTTTTTTGGGGAACTTTATCGTGCTTGTTCTATTTAGAAGCAGTCAATTGAGAAAATTATAGAAATGGTAGTTATGAAAGTCGCTTAACTGACCCATTTCAAGCACATGTCGGTTTTGGGTATGTTTACTTTGATTTTTTAAGAATGCTGAAAGGTTTTAATGTAAATAAGCAGGTATGAGGCAGAATGAAGAGGCTATTGAGGAAACCATCGGACCACCTTTAAGCCTTTCATGACAATTCATGAAAAACTCTTTTAATAGCACTTCATGAAATATTGCACTCATAAATCCACGCGACAAGTTCATGTCACGAAGAAATCACAAAATAAAATTGAATTTATGAAGACAATTTAAAACAAATAATATTTTTTAAAGGTAATTCGTGCTCATTTCTTAAGCATTTAAAGGAAAATTAGCTTCATTTTAAAGCTGTTAATCCTCAAGTAAAGAACAAAAATGAAGAACTTTGTGAAGATTTTAATTTTCATTTTATTGGTCAATGAAAGTTTACAGGAAATTTTATTTATTGGCGATTGGGACTGCTTATTTCGTGAGTTGTTTTATCTGCTTTAAAATAATTTAAATGCTACTAAAACTTTTCACCACAGATGGTACAGAAATGTTCTACAATGCAATTAGCACGTCATTACTATCCAGAAATCCTGAAAACGGTGCCTATTCGATAAGAATTGACGAAAGTGAGACAAAATCTTCAATTGTTTATGGAACTTTAAATCAATTAACGATTCACGATATTGAAGCTCTTGTGGACTTAGTTATCATAACCTACGACAGGAATGATGTCAAAATTAAGACTTTAACATTTCCATTGAAAGGTCCTCAACATGAAATTCATTTTGAGACTCCTTTTGAACCATCTGAAGATTACAACATTACTTTGAGAATCTATCAGTGCCATATGATTGGAGGAGATGCAGAATCTGACGGTGAAGTGCGAGACATGTTGGAAACTATTATTGAAAAATTAGAATAAAAATTTAGCTTTTTGATTTTTTTGTCCAATTTTTTGTTGAAAATAAAATTAATTTGGCAGCACAAAAGTAAACTTTTAAGGGGCCGTTCACTTATTACGTAACGCTTTTAGGGGAGAGGGGGGGTCTAAGATTTTGTTAGGGTTCAAACAAAAGAAATTTTTTTTCATACAAATTTTGTTACGAGGGGGGGGGGGGGGGGTGTAAAAGGAGTTTTTTTGCGTTACGTAATAAGTGAACGGCACCTAATGACTTTTTAACTATTCATATTCCTAAATTAAGAATCCTTCCTTGCTGACCTCAAAATCAACCTTGCTTAAAATCCTTGAGAGATGACTCAAATTTATAAAAATAATTACTTAATTTGCAAAACTAAAACTAATGACTAATTTAAAAACTTTTTGCACGACAAAGTTAAATTTTAAAAAATTTCCAATTTTTCGTATTGATTAGTTTTTAGTTTTAAATAATATTAAGTATGCAAAAAACCTTCATTAAAACTTTTTCACACATGTTCAGTGTCGCATAGACTCAATTCAGGTCAAATATTGTTTTTTTTTCATCAACATTGCGGCTGTTGTCCTTTTCAAAAGCGGTTCTTTTAAGTCTTTCGTGACAAACTTATAACAACACAATATTCCATTGTTGAGCCTGAATAGAATAGATCTTACATCATCATAAAAATTTTGTTTATTTTGTCTAGGGATATTACAGGATCCGAGTGCCTCGTGTGTTAACATTACAGTCAGTCACGAGCATATTGTTGCAAATTCTCATTAAAAAATCTTTGTCGTGTGACCTTAAAAATAGGGGAAAGAAATGCTTTCAGTTTACAGTCTTCTTTCTTCAGTCTCAGACGTTCATTTCAAGTCTTAGCAATGAGAAAAGTTCAAACAAGTTTCTGTCTTATGGTTGTAGCTATAATATTAAATATTCAAAGCTGTGAAAGTTTAAATACTATTTATTATTATGGAAATGTATCCTGTGCATTTTGTTAGTTGCCTCATTACAGTTCGAGATTTTGTAGCACTGCTGAATAACAAAAAAAATGTCATTTCAGATGGGGCAAAAACTTTTGAAAATTCTTTCAATTCATTGTCAGCTAATAGACGACGTCCAACAAATAATATCAGTTTAATACTTGCTAAACATCCAGATGGCAATAATGTTTTGACCGTATCTAAAAGTCCAGTCGATACTAAAGACATTAACATATCTGAACAGGCTAGCTTTGTTTCTGTTGATGTTCAAAGTGCCAGCGCTCGAGTGAGATTCAGCCAGAGTAATAATGATTTTGAGTTGGTTTCGGATCAGATTCAAGGACCTGATGCAACGAGTTATGATGTAGTTGTGAGAATTTTCTCATGTTAGGTTGTAGGTGATGGAAAATAAGCTTTGAATAAAGTTGCGAATTGCAATCAATAAATTTTTGAAAGTTTTTTTTTTTGGTTTTTAAGTTTGTCAGACTAGAATAATTTGTCAGTCCCAATAGCATGTAGCTATAACTCTTAAAGGCATCACGTCAACAGTCTGAAAGCTTGTCATTCGAAAACTCAATTAAAAAGAATTATGTCAACGGTTATGATTCGTCCTTGAGCTTTCAAATGTTTAGTTCATGCATTATTCAATACTTTTTTGTGTCTTGAGTCTTGAGCTTTGAGTCAACCTTAGCCATCTTGTAGAGTAAAGCCGGCTTCATTTCAGGTGATGCATTTAGAACAAAAGTCAAAGCTTAATACAGAAAATATTAAAAGTCCAGACACATAAAAATTTCACAGCCATAAAACTAAAGTGAATTTCGTGTTCTCATCCAGTCAACTACTCCGTCAGACTCAATAAAAATCCTAATAAATTATCAAGAACAATAAAAAAAATTCAATCTCAAGCACAAAGCACTTCAATATGCAGAGTTGTAGCATGTGCTTTTATGTTTCCATGGCTTCAATATAAATTGACCCAAATGCACAGTGATTTTGTGTCACTATGTTCTTGATTATACGGTTGCTGCACTAGCCACACCCACTTTCTACACCCCTGAATGTGCAACAATAAAGTTCAGCTCCAATAACACTTAACAATAATTATTTTAATTATTCAATTTCCTTATTTAAATGAAATAAAAAAAATGTGGAAATAGAGAAAAATTTAATCGGAAAACTGCAAATAAAATTGCATTAAATATTCTTGTTCTCTCTCTTTTGTGTTCCTTCCTCTTAAATATCCGAATTATAAGTGAAAATGTATTGGCGCGAATACAATAGGAAATGGAATATATAAAAAAAATTGAGAATGATTTATTATGATAATTTATGCTCTATGGAAAAAAAGTGGCATAGAAAAAAATTTTTTGTCGAGGTCGTAGACGCTCATTATAGAACAAAATCGTAATGTAGAAGGGCAATGAATCATCAAACTATCGAGATTATTCATCATATGATTGATAAATTAAGATTGCTTCTCAAAGAAATTATCGATAAGATTTTACAATATATTCGGAACATTTGATGCAATTTCAATCAGTATCGAACAAACAGTGCCAAAACGATGAAGTTCTTAATAATATTTGTTGTGTCAATGGCAATTGCCGTTAAGGGTTGGAAGCAAAAGTATGGAAATGACTTTGTGACATATTCGATTGGTGATAGATATGAAAAAGGTGTGTAAAGTCGTTGAATATTTTCTTTTATGGAAATTAGCATGGAATTGTGAAATGAAGGGAAATTGAGGAAATGAGGTTTGTGAAATGTGCAGATTAGGTTGAATTTTGGGCTGTTTTGCAAGTCAGATGGGGCATAGAAAATTCTGAAATATTGAACTGCTTATTATGGAAATGAAAAGTTCCTAGAATGCTCTTCATTCTCCTGGATATTCTCGATTCAACTCCGCACTTAAACCACACGCATTTAGCACCAAAAACGTCATCTACACATGGCATCTGCTTGGGCAATTTGTCAAATAATATTTCTTTTTAATCAAAAATTTATAAATGTGCCCATTCATTAAGATCAAATCAACTGGACATAACTTCCAACAAAAAAAATTAACATTTTCACAAAATGTCAAATGTAAAATTTTTGAGATAGAAATTTTCTGATAAATGCCATGCCTGTGGGGAAAATTAGAAAATTGTTCATGTCAAAAGCAGTAAAAACTTCTTAAAAATTACGATTATTTCTCTCGAAAATAAAAAGAAAAACTTTTTTTTACCTAAAAACTCATGGAAAGTTTATCAACAAAAAATACGAGAGAAAGCTTTCCGCAAACGATTTATTTTGTGAAATAACAAGAAAATTTCTTAATTGCCTGCTTAAGCAGAAAGTTCTTCTTGTAAAACTTTTTCTCTTGATTTAGTCATATCTTTTGATTTACTTACACTAATGGCCGATGGGAATGAATTTTTGTGAATTGATTGAGTTTATTTCAATGCAATTAAGGTTTGAATTCTGTTTGTAATGTTTAAGCTAAGAGGTTAACTTAAAGTTGGACCTTCAAAGTAAAATCTCGAAACATATTGAAAACCTTAAAAATGAAGGTTTCAATGTTATTTCCATTTACAGAAAACCTTCAAAAACCTTTAATAATATTTTTTTTTCTCAAAGCTCATAAAATTCTCAATAATTTCAATACGGTTAACAGCTATTCATTACACGATCTTAATTACAAATCTGAAAGGAAAGTCGTAAAGCTCGCTTCATCATTTCGCCTCGTCATGTTTTCTTTCCGTTCATTTCTTCGCATTTTCCTGTTAATTTTCAAACAAGATTTCGTTAAAATAAACATAAAGTTAGTATGAATAGCAAACACGTGTCTTACACAACAAAATTTGGTGTGATTTAAAGAGAGAAAAAAAAATTGAGGAAAGAACTACGCCTCAGGTAACATTTGCAGAGTAAATTAAGAGCTGAAAAGTGCGAAACTTGTAATTAAGAAATTTTACGATGATAAGAACAAGAAATTAAAGGTCTTTTGAAAATTGTTTGCCCAAAGCTTAGCCTTATGTTGATTAATTTCTATATCAAAATTTATAGGTTCTATCAAGGTCGAGTTTACTTGACATTTCACCTGTTTAATTAATTTTTAAAGGTTACGTTTCATCTTGTTATTAAGGGTATAACATTAATTACTGTGCTGTGAGGAAATAATTTGAAACTTTTGAGATGGAAAATTAATTTCGGATTTGCATATTAAATTTTCTGTGCTTTTGAAGTTTTTGAAGAAAAGTTTTGAAGGTTTTGCTGAAAGGAGGATGATAAGCAATTAGTGGTGGATCATTGAGTTCAGGGTTACCAGCTTCAAGGTCAGGGTTCAAGGGATGCAAAATTGTACTTAATTTTTGAATTTGACTGTTTCGACTTGTTATTCAACTTAAGGCAGATGCGAGCTATAAATTGTGAAAAAATTAATTTTTTCTCGTCTGACAATTGCAACGGTTGCGCTAGAGTCCCTTCAAGCCACTGCGACGTTATCATGGCAGGATTGTGGTGACTTTGGAAGAGTGAGTTCGTCCATGCTATGAACCGATTCCGCATAAAGAAGTCAATAAAAACCTTGAATTTCATATTAAAGCAAAAGCTCTATTCCAACCACATCCCACACTCCTTTATACTCAACTCTTTCTATTGTATTCAGCATTAAATAAAACATCCTCAGATATAATAAAAGAACAGACAACAATTTTCAAACGTTAGCAAATTTTATCCCCTGATAATTCCATCTGACAATAGCACCAAACGAAAGTTCTGAATTCTTACGAAAAATAAATTTTTCCATACCAAAAAAACTTTATTAAGCTCTTTAAAAGCTTTTTAATTCCCATGAAAAAAAAAATTCAATTCAAACTCATTCATTTGTGAAAAATATTCTCCACAAAACCAAATCAAATCACACTGAGCACAGCAGAAACACGAGACACAGAAAAAAAAGCCATTTCACATTTTTTTTTATCTTTAAAAAGTCATTTTCAGAATTTAACCACACATTATTTCCATTCTAGGTGACTTTCTTATCAGGAATGAAACAGTTGAGTCTAAATTCTCTATTTACAATTGGCCGCGTGTTCATCGACTTGAATTTAAAATTGAGAATCATGATGATTTATTAAGTTTCGCTCAAATTGACATTATTGACACTGATGTAAGTATTTTTTTTGGAATTTTTGAACTTCTTTATATCCTTTTCAGTGCTAGACTCCACCCACTTTAAAAATATTCATTTAAAGATACAACAAATGATCCCAAATTTCCCAAATGCTTCTCATTTTTCTTCAAATTAATCTTCGCATTCCATCATACAATCTTAGCAACATCCCACAACAACAGCATCCCATAACTCATTATAAATTTGAAAAATATTGAACATAAAACAAATTCCCGCAGCACCAATTTTCATCAATTTTCTTTTTTGATAATTTTAGGAGCCCCATGAGGTCCATATAAGCACGCAACCCACACATTACGAAGTTCTTATTGTCAGCAAATGTAAGTTGAATGGTTTGGTTAAAGTCTACCATAAAGCGCCAGAAAATTTTCATCATTTGACAAAATTATTTCCGTCATTATTCAACGCTCAACGAGGTAGAGGATATTGAAGCGCTGTGAGGATGATAAAAAGTTCTGTTTCAGCATCACTTTTAATAAATTAGAAATTTAATGATAAAAGTAAAATTTTATGCAGCAGCTAGTGTTAATTAAGAACTTTGTGCTGTTAATTTATTAAGATAATTATCAGCTTTTTTATGTCTGAATGCAATGTAATGTATATTTATGGCTTGTTTGTAAGTTAGTCTTACTAAAGAATTTGTAATGGTGTTGTAGGATTATACTGTGAAGCTTAGCTTTATGTATTATGCAGCTGTGAATTATTTAATAGATACAATGAGAATTTTTGGTAATAAATTAATGAAATTTTAAAATATTAAATATAAAATTTTAAAAAGCTTTTTTGATAGGTGTGAACTTGAGGTAGGTTGATATTAAATAGGTTCTCAGGTTCATATTAGCTTATTGATTTATAACTGCATCTAAGAGTCTTAAAGCAAGTTCTTTGAGATTCATTTCTTTTAAAATGCTCCAATACTGTCAAATCGTGTAAGTTCAAGGATGCAGTTTACATTCTAAATCTAAAGCAGAGTTGCGATCTGTCACAGGTCAACAAAAACAGCCCACCTGTCACAGGCCGTTACCTGTTCACAGGTCAAATTTTTTCGCCTATCACAGGTCTGACCTGTCAAAGGTTCTACCTGTCACAGGCCGTTACCTGTTCACAGGTCAAATTTTTTCGCCTGTCACAGGTCAGACCTGTCAAAGGTTCTGCCTGTAACAGGCCGTTACCTGTTCACAGGTCAAATTTTTTCGCCTGTCACAGGTCAGACCTGTCAAAGGTTCTGCCTGTAACAGGTCGTTACCTGTTCACAGGTCAATTTTTTTCGCCTCTCACAGGTCTGACCTGTCAAAGGTTCTGCCTGTAACAGGTCGTTACCTGTTCACAGGTCAATTTTTTCCACCTGTCACAGCTCTGACCTGTCGCAGGCCTCACCTGTGACAGGTCGTCACCTGTTGACAGGTAGAAAAAATCTACCTGTTGACAGGTAGACCTGTCACCTGTCACCTGTCACCTTTGACTATCGAAATTTTTTTCTTCTAGTGAAGTATAAAGATTTCATACAAAATTCATCAATTTTTTTGCTTCCTCAAGTCACGAGTTCAAATCTCTTCGCAAGCAACTTTCTTTTTTTGCATTTTTATGATTTGTTTTTAAACTTTTTTGATAAAATATTAAGTTTTATGACAAAGTTTTCCATTTTCATATTTTGTTTCTTCACTTTCTATATTTTAACATGTATTTTAAATTTTTTCCATATATTTTCATACAAATTCAACTTTTTTTGTCATTTTTTATCAATATTTTATACATATTTTATTTTAACAAGTTGAAATCTGATACAAAGGCTCTTTTCCTAGATCTAAATGTTCTGAAATCGTAATCTTGGATTATAATTTTTTATATATTTCGACTTTTTGCGGTCTCGAATGACAAAGTCTATACTAGTTTTAATATTTTATACCATTTTATGATCCAAGATTACGATTTTAGAACATCCAGATCTAGGAAAAGAGCCTTTGTATCAGATTTCAACTTGTTAAAATAAAATATGTATAAAATATTGATAAAAAATGACAAAAAAAGTTGAATTTGTATGAAAATATATGGAAAAAATTTAAAATACATGTTAAGATATAGAAAGTGAAGAAATAAAATATGAAAATGGAAAACTTTGTCATAAAACTTAATATTTTATCAAAAAAGTTTAAAAACAAATCATAAAAATGCAAAAAAAGAAAGTTGCTTGCGAAGAGATTTGAACTCGTGACTTGAGGAAGCAAAAAAATTGATGAATTTTGTATGAAATCTTTATACTTCACTAGAAGAAAAAAATTTCGATAGTCAAAGGTGACAGGTGACAGGTGACAGGTCTACCTGTCAACAGGTAGATTTTTTCTACCTGTCAACAGGTGACGACCTGTCACAGGTGAGGCCTGCGACAGGTCAGAGCTGTGACAGGTGGAAAAAATTGACCTGTGAACAGGTAACGACCTGTTACAGGCAGAACCTTTGACAGGTCAGACCTGTGAGAGGCGAAAAAAATTGACCTGTGAACAGGTAACGACCTGTTACAGGCAGAACCTTTGACAGGTCTGACCTGTGACAGGCGAAAAAATTTGACCTGTGAACAGGTAACGGCCTGTTACAGGCAGAACCTTTGACAGGTCTGACCTGTGACAGGCGAAAAAATTTGACCTGTGAACAGGTAACGGCCTGTGACAGGTAGAACCTTTGACAGGTCAGACCTGTGATAGGCGAAAAAATTTGACCTGTGAACAGGTAACGGCCTGTGACAGGTGATCTTTTGACAGAAACTGTCACCTTTACCTGTGACAGGTACCTGTCGTCGCAACTCTGATCTAAAGGAGACTTTTAATCTTGCCTTGCACCAATCCCATGTCATTAACTCAAAATTATAAATTTTCTTCCTTCTTTTCTTCAACTTAATAAAACAACATCTTCATGTCTAGTGTATTAAAGATATGATGCTCAGTGGGTTGACAAAGATTCGACAAGACACGATTATGGAAATTAAAATTAGAAAAGGCTGCTTTCATTAAATCATTGTGAACTTAATCGACAAATATGCAATAAAGTATACATTAATCTGTATTGAAATTTTATTTACTGTCTGTAAGGATTCTGAAATCAATAAATTACCGTTGTTTACAGACCGTTACATCACTTTTGTGTTTATCTTTTAATTTCTAATGTAAATGTAAGCACTAAAGTCAATTATGTTTCTAAATTCGATTAACAGAAAGCAGTAAACATGCAACAATAGAAATCAGACACTGCGAAACGTGTGAAAAAATCATTTATAAAACAATAATAAGTTCGCACATGGTTTTTAAATGAAGAAATGGATGTTTTGTTGAGGTAATTGTACTTAAGAGGTGGATAATTGAGTTTTTGAATGGATGAAGTTATTTTGTGGTTTGAAAGTTATTTGAATTTTGTGGTTTTGATGACTGTGGGTGTTAGGAAATGTTTGAAAATTAAATCTCTCGGTATTGAATTTCGTAAAGAACATGGATTAGTTCCTCGGGTTACCTAGAGAATCCTTTCTTAGATAGAGCATCCCAGACAGCCTTTGAATCTCCTAGGATCAATTCATAAATCATTCTCGTTCGTACTCAATTCATAATCATACCCACGGCATAACAAAACTTTCCATCCACAACATATCAAAATGTGATGAAAATCGTCTCAGATTCATCTGAAGCACAGATTTAAAAAGTTTCATATTTCCAAATCTACTTAATTGTACTCAAAAACCATAGCAATAGGATTATTCACACTGAAAATGATATTTTTTCATGATTATGAATAAGATATGAATCCGTATTTCATTATTCAACCATTAAACTCGAAAAATATTCATGCTGTTGTGAAAAAAATAAATTTTAACAAAGTTGAAGCATCAATATTGAAGGGGATGGAGTCGAGCAAACGAGAAAAGGAAGAAGTATGAAAAACTTACCGACAAGATAAATTGCGATGAAATTAAAAACAAATCAAACTCAAATTATTCACAGATTTTTTTTTATATTGACGAAATTTTCGAGACATACGGCGATGGAATTCCTTAATAAATTTTATTTTCGTGTCTTTTATGAAAAATTTAAATTTCAAATCACAAAAAGGACGAGTTTGGTGGTAAATTATAGCCAAAATAGCTTTCAGGTGTGCTTAAGTGTTTTATTTTGTGTGATTGTTAGCTTCGTGATGATAATTTTGAGTTTATTTATGGATTTATGGTTTTACAGCACCCTTTTACGAATGGTGAATATAGTTTGGTTTTTGGGGATTTTGTGTCGAGGAAAAAGGAATAAAGAATTACTATTTTTGCGGTGGAATATTTGTTGAAACATTGCTGATAAGCTTTCATAGTAGTTTAGATTTGATCAATGGTTCTAATAGGATTCTGATTAATTCAGGTGCGAGTTCAGACTTTATCCCAATAACACCTACCAAATTGAAGGTAACAAACTACACCTTTGTACTCTGAGCCTCCATCACAGCCACAAACAGCAAATTGACGTTAAAATCCGTCAATTTAACATTAAAAGGTCCCCTAACCCTTCCTAGCTTTAAAAATTCTTCAGAACTATTCAAAAATAGCTTCCATTTCATCTACCGTGCCATATTGAATCAATGGCTTTACAAAATTTCTTTCTTCTTCCATCAAATTTACTTTTCAGCACATCAACAGCAAAAAAAAAGTATTTTTAACTGAAACGACAGATTACACAAAAGAGTACTACTGGAAAATATTGAGAAAGGAAGGCGGTCGCTACTGAAAATTTTAAGGCAGAAAATATTTTGATAAAAGATTAATTTTCTCTCCCCTTTTTATTCTACGAATATATTGACGACTTTATGGCGCGCTAATTCTTCATTTTATTCAGCTATAAGAGCTGAGGGTTTCGATTTCATGAAATGAGCCCTTTTTGCCTCACATTCGCTTCCATGTTCGATTCAATAACTCTCAAAAGTGCTCTATAGTTTCCTTTCTATATTTATATGCTTGTATACCGTATTATCATTTGGTATTAAAAGCATATAGAAAAGTTATTTTCATCACTTCCTCTTCTTCTTCTTCTTCTTCCACTTTTAATTTTATTTCATTTTTTTTCCTTTTATAAAATGAAAGCAAATCAAATTCTTCTTATTTTTATCACATTTTCATGATTTTTTTTATATTCACCGAAATGATACGACTTAAGGTGAAGATACTTTGTCTCGTGGGCTGTCTTAAACAAAAGAGTTGTGTTTAAGTGTCATTTCTTTTGATGCTTGATTATTCGTGGGAATGCTGAGTTTGAGTCTGAGTTTGAGCAGTGTAGGTTGAGGCGGATCATTGATCTGTATAAGCAACATGAGCCGCACACTGCTGCAAATTTGATATGTATCCATAAAACCTTCATTGATAGCTCTAGAAACCTATTCCTAGTGATAAGTAGAAACTGATGCTATAGAGGAGATCTACTTAATGGCCAATTTAAAGCGAGTTCATGTCAAAATATGTTACAATTCCGGACAACTCTAGGATCTTGTTTTGGCATCAAGAATGTTAATATGTCAAACAAATCGATTTTTTCCGAGTTTCTGGAGGCTTATTAAGTGAAACGAAAAATTTATTTTAATTTTGATACTAACAAAATTAATAGCTTTGTCTTTATTATCTTCACAAACAATAAATCCTCAAAAATTGACCTAATTATCCAACGAGATGAATATAAAACAGCAAAGCTACCCTCATATTAAAAAATTGGCAGTTCTCGGTCACTGCTTCGTATGTGTGTTGTATTTTATAGAGAATTCTGACAGCATGTAGTAATCAGGATATGCAGACTCAAGGACGCTTATGCGCTCTGTAGTATCTTAACCCTTAAATCCCTTCAAAAACTCCCAACTCGACCAATTTCACAGTTTTTTTTGTGTGTTTTTATAAAAAGTCATAAAATATACTCCAAGGATATTAAAATTCAAATATCGATCGATATTCTAACTCGTAGTAGAAGCAGCCGCCACATTTTCAAATATATACTTATGTTTACACAGCCGAGCGACTCTGAATAAATATAAAATGTAGTTTTGATAGGCTTGCATGTAAACATAAATTGGAGAGTTGCAAAAAATAAATTTTCTTCCCCATTTTTTTTCTTCTTGTTCCTTACTTCTGTGCTGTTCATTCAATATTGTTGTTTTTATTATCAGTTGAGGTTCAGTGTTATGTGCTGTATGTATTATATTGTGTATTTTATATGATGTGATATGATTCCATCCTCCACCCTTATAATTTTTATTTTATACATATATGTACAATTACCGCATACAGAACAGAAGCCGTCTGAAGTACTGCAGTTGGAATGAAGTGAAAAGGAAATTTCTTTTTTTTTGTGTGATGTGTTTGTTGTTGTTGTGCAGGAAAAATATGATTAAAAAAGAAATGAAATGAAGGATGGATGGAAAATTATATCGTGTGTACTTCCATTTTTTTCATAATTTTTTTAATTGGATTTTTCTTCATTGCGTTACTTATTATGTGTGTCTATCTTTTATTCCTTTGAAGGTTTTGAAGTTATAGAGTTCTTAATGGTAGGAAAAACCTTAGCTCAAAGCTACATTACACTCTACTATACTTCTGGAGTATAGCCAGCTTTAAACTTATATGTTTTTGAAAAACAAAAATTAACGAAGTGCATTTACACAATCGGGCTCATTGATGCATGCTTTCGACTTCAGTTTGACACACGCAGACATCAATTATAATTTAAACAGCACAAAACCTGCATGTTTGTCTAAAATATTGAAATATCCTTCAAAATTTATATTCTAGTGCGACATCCGTAAAGTTTTCTTTCAATAAAATAGAGTGAGGTCAGAATACATTGATCGAAAGCTAGCTTTTACTCAGCATATTGCTGGTCAATAAAATTTTACATCCAATAACCAAAAAGCAGACCTTTACGAGTCATTTAGATACCAAAATTTAACCCCATCTGTTCCAAAAGAGTTCAATAACATTGCTTCATTAAGATCCATAAGATTTGTTGTTTAAGACACAGAATGATGGATTGAAGACATTTTAGCACGTTTAGATGAAGATTAATCAAAAAGAATCCATGTTTTACTTCCCACAATTAATAGCACAATGGAGTTTGCTTGATCTACTTTCCATTGTTATTCTACCCTTAAGTAAATCCATTCATTCTCAAATTACGAACCTAATAGAATATCTTACGCTCAAATCCATTCAACCAGAAATAAAACAATTTTCTGACTTTTTACTGATACCAAAAAAAGGACGCATTACACATCCACAGCAATTCTTTTTGTTTTAAATTTAGGCAAATCACGCCAAATGCCAATAAAATGTCATTTCACGTCTCTCATATCTCACCAACAGCAGTAGACAATAGACTGAAATATAGAATATATAGAACTGACATCAATCAATAATTTGTCGATGATTCTTTTTTTGCCTTGGCTTGTAATTCAACGAAACAATTTCTGTGTATTGTGTACGAATCAGCATACATGAATATAAATATGGATTGAGGATGATGATGATGATTGTGTATTGATGGATATTGAATTTATATCTAGGGGAGGATATTTCTTACTGTGGGGAGATGCAACGGATGTTGATTTTGCTTTTTTGTTGAGTCATTTGTTTGGTTTCTTTATTAATGGAGGGATTTATGATTTCTGGATTTATTTTTTATTTTCTACAAAACTAATTTCTTGCGAGACGATACAGTCAAACATAGTTTTGTAACTATGCTGTTTCACAAAGACAAGAGTGTACAGTAGTAACTCCATGATAGAGTACAAGATTGGTAAGCAGCTAGTTGCCTAGATTTAGTAATTCTTATTAGGATCCATAGAATACTTAACTGTGCAACCTAGGAGCCCAAGAGAATGACACCAAAATCCATTAAACCCCTTTCCTACTAATTTCTACTCCTAAGTGAACTTACAATTGATGGACTAAGCACATACAATCCCAATCAACTAACCACCCCGAGAAATATTCTCTTCAATCGTTATGAAATATTGTACGATTGAATGGATGATGGATTTAGAAAATAAATTATAAAGGGTGATAATACTCACTTCTGGTATGTCCTCCGGCACCTAAAATGGGAGTAAAAATGGAAATGAAAATTCATAAGTGAGACAGCAAATTAACAAATTCTCAATTATTTATTGAATAAAGACATCTTCGAAGGGGTCTCAAAATACAATAAATTAAAATAATTCAGTTATAGAACTTACCTTTCCCATCCACGACAGCGAAAGAATTGTGCAATCACATTTTGTATTTGAATTTTTTTCAAAATGTAAATGCATTTTTGCGGACTTTTTGCTTTACTTTTTTTTAAAAATTATATTTTTGCTTATTTTTTTACACCTATTTTAATATATTTAAGCTATATTTAACAACATTTCATGCACTGCTAAATTTATCATCATCATTTTTATTGTTTCTTTCTTATAGCGATTCCAATGCGATTCTTGTGTACTTCCATTATTTGATGTTGCTATAAATAGACGGAAAAACAAAAATTCTTATTAATTTTAATTTTTTTTGTTGCATTGCGTCGCGTTGCTGTCAAACTTTTTTTTTGCTATAAAATGTGGTTGTTGGTTTTTTGCTTGCAATGCCCGACCGGCTGTGCATGACAGATGATATTAATTTGGTGGGAAAAATCGAGTAAATTTACAATGTGCGATTTTGAGTATTAAAAACAGTTGATCAAGTTTTTAAGGGTTTTAATTCAGGTTGGCTAAATGAGATTATTGTCACTTGAATTTTAATAATTATTGCAACTTGTGAAAAGTTTTACTTTTGATGTGGCATGAAGAAAAAATTATTTTTTTATTAATAGCAAAAAAATTCGTCATAAATTATTTTTAATCATTAAAATGAGCAGCAATGAGGTTGAAATAAAGTGATGATACTTATATTATGGTGAGGAATAAAATATTTCCCTGAAACAGGGCAAAGTTAATTTTTTTAAGAATATGGCTTTAATCCTATCCAAAAATAGCTCTTTTAACTGTTCCTATATGTTTTGAGTTTTATAGCAGTGAAGGTGAAAACACAATAAACAGTATTTCTGTATGTACACAAACAATAACGCTAGACACAACTTGTATTTGATAATATAATAGAATAGTACATGTCAATGTGACATTTTTCTGTGCAATTTCTGTACAAAAACAATAGAAAAAGAACTTGTGTTTGCGTTCTAAAAATAGACACATTCATTGACAATAGACGCTGAGAGTCTATCAACTCTCGGTTGTGAACAAGTGAATGAGGAGAAATCCGACATAAAAAATAATTTTGGAGGATATTGGATAACAAATTGGGGATTTTCATTTTGATAAATATTCCTAAATCCCATGTCGTTGTTGTAAAATTAATTGGATATGACTCAAATACATTTTCATCTCACAATCATAAGGCACACGTGTACACTTCATTCTCTCTTTTTTTTTGTAATTCGAGAATTTTCATCAATTGAAAAATGAAAAAATTGTTTTTCTAATTTGTTCACTTCCACTCGTCTAGAGTTCTTTTTTTTGACAGAAGCATGCTACTTGTTGATCTTGAAACTTTTGTAAATTGAATTTGTATGGTCGACGGTAATCTCACTTAATTAGATTGGACGATGAAAGGAAAGAAGAATAAGTTTTTGGGGAGGGTCAAATTGAGTCAAAGGAATGGTTTTCGAGTTTAAGAAGGTTTAATTATACATGCATAAATTTTTGTATGAAAAGACTTTGGGATTTTTTTAAAGGCATGAGAAGTAATGAAGATTTTTATGGTATCTCTAGTGATATTAATTTTTAATCCTTTTTATCTCAATTTCAAGATTCACCACTGGCGACCAGAGCTCGAAGTCGATAGTGTTCGGGTCAACTCGAGTTGACTCAACTCAAGAATCCCGCTATGCCACTGGATTGTCATTCTAATTTTCCTTCAAAATCTGTTTCAAATTTTCCATTCAATTGAAAGTCAATCATGTTCCATGTGCTCATAATCTCAACTTAATGAAGTCAAATTTCCACAGAAAAATCCTCCTAAGCTTTCAACCACCCAACTCTCAAAGAAACCTCATCAGAAACTCTTACAGAAAGGAAGCATAAATAACATTTCATTTCCAAGAATCTCCGTTCATATCACAACTTTCCTCCCATTCAATGTAATCTCCAATCAATTAACCTACATTTTGAAATTACTTTTGCTTACTTCAAAAGAATAATTTTCCGTCATCATCCTCATTCAAAGGTATTTACATTCATTCCGAGCAGTTTCATAAAAACAAGCTCTATTCAAGAATCATGCAATTTAATAAAAGTTACAAAAATAAAAGTTTTGTTTCCATCTATGTCTATTGAATGAAGTTCATTGTATTATGACGAGCTAGCTGAATGAGGAAATCTAAACAGAAATGAAAACTGAAAGCACTCGGATATACTAGAAAAGTTCTCGAATGAAAGTTTTTTTTTGCATTATTTGGTCTTTCGATGTAATTTTAATCCGTTGCTCTGGTTTCTTTGTGTTGTAGAAAACATCTAGTCATTGAGATGAAAACTTTTGTTTTTGAAAATGAGATTGTCTGGGACAATAGTTGGGTGGAATGATGTTTTGGATGTAGAATATTTTTGGAAGGTTTGGATGTGCATTTTGGGATTGGTTATTAATTTTTAAGCTTCAAAACTTTAAGTTGAATTCAAATTCATTTATTAAGGTTTTTGTTACCCAACGAATAACCTCAAACTTAGTTTTATTTCTAATTAAATTCCAATGAATGACAAACTCTCCTAAAATATACCTTTAATAGAGCTTCAATCCAGTCACATAAAAAATCACATTAAGACATTGTCGCTACAAGTTTTGAATGATTTACTGATCAGACATGTAAGTGCATAATCACCTTAATCTCCTGCCTAACATAACAAAATAATGTAATCTCCCCCAACTTCCATTTTCGAAATTCTACGTCAACAATTCGTGTTCTTATGCAATTAACCATTTTCCCACACAAAAAAAATGTTCATTTATCCTCTGCCTCAATTAAGAAATTCCTGTCTATTCATCCCTCCTTTTCATATTAATCACATAATAGGCCAACAATTCTCATTACTTACTAAAGCTTTCTCACATCATTCATCTCTTGAGCACATAAGAAAGTTTACTTTCAACCTCAAAATGTTAATCATCGTTAAAAACGTAAGCTGACTTATTTACCGCATACATAAAGAGAAAAATCATTAAATCTACTTTAGAAGGAAATGTTTTGGCATTACGAGTTTGATTAATGTAATGAATATCAAATTGAATGGCTCAAGGGGTTCATTTATAAATGATGTCCAACTTTTTCAGAGTCTAGAGCCACTTTTTGAATAAAAGGTTTACTCCAAAGTCGGGAGTAATATATAAAAAAAAACAAATTTCGAGTGACATCACTAAAGAACAACCCCCCGAAGATTCAAAGATTGATTGATGCGTGGATAGATAGAGCATAAAATTCGTCTTTTAGGTGGTTATGGACTGAGCCTTCCTAAGGCTCTCTTTTATAGATGCTTAATATGTCTTTGTGATGATGCTTTTGTGCTGTTTTACAATCAATCAATTCGAAGAAGATTGAAACTTTTGTGAATGTATGTATGGCATTAAAAGGGGAAAAGTTTATGTGCATGATCAAATAATGTCTGATGTATTTGCTTTTAGAACGGCAAAAGGCGGTTCTTGAGATTGAAATTTTTCGGGAAAAGATTGATCAGCTTTTGCGAAGCTTGAGGGTTGGATTGATTGAAAATGTTTTATATGCGAAATGAATTTTGAATTGGATTAGAAATATTTTTGTTTTTATTGAATTAAGGGTTGTGTGCTTGTAAAGCTTCTGTAACCTTGGTTTTTGAAGCTTTAAAGTTGACAATATCATGCAACACATTATCTCTCTTAAAAGAATGAACACAAGCATTTTTAAAGTGTCATAATAGAGAATAACCTCGTTCCTCATCGAAACTTCCAAAGCAAGTAATAACCACACCCCCATCCAATAGCAACAGCTTCTCTTTACCATTCAAATCAATTAAAAAGGGTCTCATTTGGCTTAGAAAATTTTATCACTGGAAAAATATTCTTTAATGAATTCATTTTATACAGCTTCATTATTCCATAAAAATATTAATGGTTCCAAATTTCAATGCTCTAAAAATTCCAAGAATGGTTGCTTTGCCATCACTTATCATTGCTCGTAAAATCCAAGAACCGTAAAAACTTCCACAGCTTTTACTTTCCATCGTGCCAAAAAAAATTTCAGCTCTTAATTATTTAAACTTTAATTAACTTTTAATGTAAAAAGAAAAGCTTTTTAGAAAAAGTTGCATTTAGAAACGTTTCAGACCTGTGTGAAAATCATGAAGAACTGTTTTGCTTCTCTTTCAATGCCGAAGCTGTCTAATTGTTATGTTCATATGGCGGAATACACGTACGCCCTGTTGAGCATCGTGTTTTACAAAAAACTTGATAACAAATCTATTTGAAATTCTACATGGAAACAGCAAAAAAGTGGGTATATAATTTCAGAAATGTGTTAATTGAGTTCTGGTGCCGATGATTTTTTTTCAGTACGAAAAAGTTTTCTTAACTTGAATGCAAACAGTTTCATTAGAAAATGTCAGATCAACGTCACTCGTGGGACAATAACGTTTAAAACGCATTAGTCAACATACTGCAACGTTATTTTAAAAATATTATCAAGTGACTAACATGCAGTACACTCGTGTGTCATTTACAGCACAAAAGATTCCAAACCATGTCTAGCTTTTAATGTCAACATCTGAAAATCATAATTTACATTCTTTTAGTGCTCACATTCTTTTCTGAAGCTGTTTGTACAGACTATGAGAGTGCTAAAGTACGATAAAAAGTCAGATGGGGAATCTATATATAGTATGGTAGTCAGACATAGAGCATTCTAGAGTTGACAATATTTTATGATACAGTATATATGTCTTGTTGATAATGAGGATTAAAGTGCTGTCTTCATATTGCTGAGAATTAATAGATATTAAATAGAATATATTTTGATTAAAGGAAGCTGACTAAGGTCATTCAACTAAGAAGGGTGCTTTTGAAGCTTCCTTGTGTGTTTTGAACGGTATATTGAATTGAGTCAAGAGAAGGCTCTCGAATGGCACAAGTCGGTTAATCGATCAGAAATCAAGCTGGTGTAATTCTGGCACGGTGTTGAATTTAAATTAAAGCTAGCACCATGCCAGAGTCATGCCGACTGAATACCGAACTTCTATTCAATTAACCGACTTATGCTATTCGGGGCTATTCTATTTAGTGCTAGATCCTGGAAGCTATGAAATGACTCTATGGTGCCACCAGCAAATCTAATATCTTCCATAAATCAAGCATTTTTGGAGTTAAAAATTCAGCTAACACAATTCATTCATTCAATCATCTTCTCACGAACCTTTCATACCCATCTGAGCCTTAACTTCAGACAAAAAACCATCAAAATAATTTTTTCATCTAATAAGCTCACATGAATCCCTGACGCAACATTCCATTAACAATTCTTTTCCCGTCATAATTCCTTCAAATACGTTTTTCGCCTTTCCTTTTTGCTTTCCCTTCCGAGAAATCCAAATTAAAAAATCCCGAACCTATGCTTTGGCTTGTGTATGAAAGATTGAAGAGATATAATCGCATTGTTCTTGAATTTATGAATAATGTAATTGAAAATGAAAGGAAGGAAGAAAAAATCCTTAAAGCTTTAATGCTATTTGTCTCAATTTAATGGTAGAAATTTTATGTTTTTAGTTTGTTTCTTCAGGCAGGACTTGACTTCAATTTTATAGAGGATTGTGGTGATAAAAGGTTAGTGATGATGTCAACCATGGAAAGTGAAACAACTTGGAACTCTAGATATTCACATTTTGCAACTTAAAACCGTAAAAAAAAGAAATCATTTCATCCAAAATCATCTCCAATAACAACCTTTGTAATAAACTCAACATACCCTAAAGCTTCTCTAAAATACTAATGCAAACATTTATATCATTTTACAGCAATACCCAAATGACAGATTATTCTTGGAACTCAGACTTCAACATTTCGTAATGGAAAAGTTTTGGATGGAATTTCTCGCAGCTATTTTTGCAGAATTCATGAAAAATTTGAGCATTTTCGTAAGAAACTTCACCTGGAATCTGCTACTCAGATAATCTACTTCTACTAGCAACAAAATCAGTTTATATTTCATTCATCAAACCTGAAAAGTTTCCATCATCACGTAATTATGATCATTTCAACATTTTACTGTCTATAAATAATTTTTTGTTATTTTCTTTCAGTTCCAAAATAAGTTTTTTTATTGCTTATAATTAGCGTCTGAACATCGTTTGTCCATTTTCTTTTCTACTTCATTAAACATAAACATTTGAAAAATGCAAAAAGCAAAAATATCGCAATTTCATTTTATATTCATACTACAACCACTTAATGTTAGCGGAAGTGAGAAAGCGTAAATGATGGAAGGAAACAAGTAAAATAAAAAACTATTTTCTGCTTATTGAAGAGCTATGACGCATTGTCAAGGACACTAGTTTGATTTTATTAGACTTTGTGTTTTGATATTGCAGTTTTCCGCAGGAAATTGGATCAACTTTGATTTTGTGATAGATTCTTACTTTTTATTGTGTACGGGAAGGACATCTAATGAAGTTTCAATTCTCAATTATGTACATTTAATTGCTCCAAAGTAGACCTAAAACTATTGAATTACATTTTAAATGTTTCAATGACCGTCGACATAACAACCATAACATCAGCTACTGATTCCTATCAATTAAAATCATTTGCCTACCAGTAAAGTACGCGTAATCCCTTTCAAATCAGTAAAGTGTGTTACAACTCATGTTTAATGGAGATTATTCAGGTTTAAAGCTGTTTATGCAAGCAAATCTGACAGTATGATACCCACATGCGACACATGTGGCTGCTTTGTCGTTTAAATCTTAATTATCTTAAGCAATAATAATTATAATAATTATCTTAAGCAATTGAGTAAAGCTGTTGCAAAGATGTCGTATCGGATCAAATGGAAATTGTAGAATGTAAATTATTAAATTATGAAAATGAGAAATACTTTTGAAACTTGGGTTGAAATACTTGAATTTTATGGTTTAATTGAACTTGGGCGCAATACATAATTTGTTCAAAAGTCAAAAGACCATCCAACATGTTTACAAAAGCTTGAATTTTTCATTTCTCATCTTCTAAATTGCGCATAAATCCTCACCCGAAAAACCATTTCCTTTCCACATCTTTAAAAAACAACACTTAATTATCTCAATCATAAATCATACACAAGAATAAGTATTAAAAATTTCTTATCATTAATCACTGCTGCTGTAAAAGCTTTCTAACATTAACATTAATGCTTCCCAATCCTACACATATGCAAGTTAAAGCATACAAATATGGCATAAAGATAAATAAAAGGAACAAAGAAAAAAATAAGAGCGGATGTATGAATAGACAATATGCCGCTAGTGCTGTTTTGTTCTGCGATCAAAAATTGCGTTTACTCAAATTTCATTTTCATGTTACATTGAGTTCACAATTTTTTGCTTTTGTTGGAACTCATAATTGAAGTCTAAAATGAAAGAAAATAGGGAAATTGGTATGGAACATGAAGAATGTATTCTTTCAAAATGAATTTGAGTGAGTCTGCAGAAATTCAGAAGGATAATTACTACATATTGAGGTATGTCAAGGTTTAGACACCGCATATGATGTCTAGAAATTCGGGAATATCAAATAGATGAATTTTACTGAAACTAGAGTTGCAATTAATAGTTCTCAACCTTAATATAAGGCTTATCAGTAGATTTAATGCAGAGAAAATAAACTAAGATATAAACTTAAGATAAAGTAACTCTCTTAAAAGCTCAATCAATTCTCAAAACTCAGCAGATTCATCAATGTCCACAACATAATCCCCAAAACTTTCAACTATAAACATCAAACTTATTTAGAATAAATTGCGATCATGCTAGAAATACAAGATATCACTTAAATGTGTCAGATTTGTTATGATAAGATGATGGGATTAATATGAAAAATATATCAAAGTCGACAAAGACAAATATTAGGAATTTTCGATGTCTGAAGGAATTGAGCTTTATGAATGAACATGTTGGAGAATTATGGCATAACAAATACGGTGCATATCTTTTAATATGTTAGAAATTGATTGAAGGAATTATTCATAAGGCGATGAATGAGCGTCTGGGGATGGAAACTTTTGAGTTATTGCAGAGGTCGAAGTCAACTCGTTATTTCTATCGATTTTGTATGGTGGAATCGACTCAATACAAAATTTCATTGATCTCGAGCTCTGGTTTATTGTATGTTTTCCATTCTTTTCGTCAAATAATCAAAATCTTATGAAGCTATCAAGTTTAAGTCTCGAAATGTGTCTTATTTATAGTTTGATGAGATTAGCATTGCAAGTCACATCTTACGGGTTCCATAAATTAAACCTAAGTAACAATGAAGTTTAAATTGACGAGAGATGATGAGATTGTGTTGTTCTGTCAATTTAATTACATCTAATCTGCACATAATGCTGCAATGTTACTACAAATGCAACTTAACATTAGCGACACGATGATGTATGGTAAATGGCAGCTGTTTGAGCAGATAAATTAAGCGACATAGCAACACCACGTCATCATCTTGTCAATTTGAACCTCATTGTCGTTTACTTTATCAAACAAGCTGTATATTTCAACTAAGAATCTTTAAACTTGCTGAGAAAATGTTCAAAAAAGTCAAAGACAAAGACAGAGTCTCTAAAGAAATCCAAAAATTCCAAACAAAATCTTTGTGTTTCCCCCAAAAATATTTTCCAATTCACAGCGGCTTCTCTTCATTTTTCAGCATACAAATTTTTTACGCTAAGCTTTCACTCACTTTGTAACAATTTTTCATAAAAATTTTCATGTTATTTTCCTCATTCACAATCAGTTTTCTTTTCTACTTCTTCTTCTTCTTCTTATTTTCTCTTACTCGCTTTTCTTTTCTTTCATTTTCCACATTTTTTCACGATACACACATCAAAACTAATAATTTCTCTCTCTATTTTTCTTTCTCTCATTTCATTGAATATTTTTAACCTTATGGGACACAGAAATATATTTTGTTACTTAATTTTCTGTTTTTCTTTTTTTTCTTCATCATCAGACTTGAAGTTTATTTATGCGTATAAAAAAATTGTATGGAAAATGTACACAAAAAAAAAATTAATTCTGTAGGAGGAAGAAAATTTGTGTCCCGCGACTAATGAAAATCGATTTTTCCACACTTTTTTGCTTACTTTTTGAGTTAGAATAATAATCCATTCATTGCAGTGTGCAAAAATAAATAGGAAAGGAAAAACTTTATTTTAATTCAATTAAGCCACAAATGAAGAGTTTCAATGACTTTGAAAATTCATATGCAAATTTATTGATAGAAAAATTAAAATTCGTGCCAAGAAAAACAACAAAAGGAGGAAAATTTCTCATCAAACAAAGATTTTGGCAGCTTTTTTTAATTTGTTTTGCTGTTTAATTTGATTTTTCGTCACGAGAGAAAGTCTTTTAAAAATCACCTCAATTTTATATCCAATGGAATTAACTAGAACTGATTATTGCAAATGCACTTTGAAATTAATTTAACAAAATAATAAAAAAATCCTTTTTGCTTTCCTTTCGATTAGGAATAAGCTTTACTACGATTCGCTTTTATCCTCGACTTTTTCACGACTGACTGTATAGTCACAAACCATCCCTTTTTTCTCTTCCGTCTCTCAGTGAAAATTCTATCGATTTTTTACTTTCAATTCTGTTCCTAACATGAGTTTGTGTAAATATTTTATATGACAATATTTCTCTCATCGCTTTTGGAATGTTTTGGAATGTGGAACTGATGAAAATTTCAACAACCTGTCGGCACCTTAGATTTATATAAATATTTCAGAATTTTTAATGCGATTTACGATTGATTTTGATAGGAGTGGAATTTTTTAAGGAATTTGAAGCATGATCTTTGCCATTTGTCCTGTTGTCTGATTCCAAGCATGTAGATGTCATTCATAATTTGGTTTTGAATTTGCGTGCAATTTTTTGTTGATAACAAAAATATTTCCATCACATAACACGCACCACTCTCTCAAAAAACTTCTACATACCAAAACTCTACATCCACAAATGAGCTCCGCTTGTGAGAATCCCAATCGAAACTTCTTCCCATTGTTTTTGTTTTCAACATCGGTCACTTCACTTCCATTAAAATTTCAATCACCGAGGTAATCAGATGTGATTGAATTTTACTCCGTCACGAAAAAAAGTGAAAATATTTCAGTCATTATTTAAAGTTTACTAAAATTTGCTGCAATCAGCTGATAATCTGGATTAGAAACTTTTTTGTTATTTTTTTAATTTTTTCTATATTTTTAATTGGAATTTAATTCACACACGGTTCAAAGGTCGATTTACAGTAAAAAGTTAATATGGATGTTGTAAAGACAAATATTAATGCATTCTTTGCAAAAAAAGAACCGTGGCAAATCGCAAGTATTACTGCATCGACGACCTTGTTAGCCGTATGGCTTTATCAGTTCATAACCAAAGAAGAGAGTAAGTTTTTACTGATAACAAGAGGAGTTTGCAGGATGTTGGATTTTGTGAATTCTATCTATTTTTATTTTGAGAGGCTCGAGATGTTGATAGTGAAACAGATTAATAATAAATGGAAGTGCATGACTTTGCAAGTTAAAAATTGCGACAGCTGGATTATTGTGACAATGTTTTTTTCAAGTGCTGATTTTTAAAGTGACTGAAAAGCTCTTTAAATGAATTTTGATCTGAAAAATGGCTGGGAAAGAAAATAATCCAAAGACTTTTGTGACCTTTTTGAGCTTGTGATCTTTTGCTTCATGATAAAATTGGATAATTCAATTTGTTGATGCTGCTCAGGGATGGCGTCAGGATTGAGCTTTATAGATCTCATTCTGACGCCTTACATTCTACATCTGGAAAATTTCTGATTGCGTGCCTTTTAATAAGAAGATAAAAATTGAAATTAAATGTACACATAGCTAAGATTAAATCTTTTTTGCATCTATGCTTACTTTTGATACTATAGCAATCAATTCTAATGAAGGGTTATGTGTTTTTTATTCAAAAAAAGTGTCGGTATATCTTTCACTATCTGCCTTCAAAATCTATAGTTTTATTTTCCTCACTAATTAGTTTCATGAGTAATTAAAAATGAACTCTATTCATTCAACAAATTTTAATGAAGTTGTAAAGCTTTTTTGGTCAGAATTATGAAAAACAAAAAGGATTTGATGATGAAATGTGATAAAGTTTTGATTTTGCAAATAAAGGAAGCAAGGAAGGGTCAATTTTGTTCACAGAGGGGGACCTTAAAAATCATAATTTTGATCCATGACATTCAAAATCTAAAAATAAACTCCGACTTTATCTCAAATTAAATATTGTTCCTGACGAAAAACATTTCAATCCCTACCCCAACCACAAGCAACGCGTATAATCTCCTCCAAAGTCCAACAACATTCTGTACTTCTACTCTTATCTTAATCAACGTGGGAATTAAAATATTATTTTCGTACCTTATTTTCTTTTTGACAAAAACTAGGCGTTACGGAGCGTTTAAAGAAGAAATTCTTCAAATTAGTGCGACATGTTCCATCAATTCGCAAGAGAATCGAGACTGAGTGTGAAAATATACAAAAACAATTTGAAGACGATACGCTGAAGTTTGGTGAAGAATTGGGATATGTTGTGAAGCTGCCGGAAGGTAAATGATTTGAGTTAATTAAGAAATGGATGTAAATTAATTATCAATGACTTCCTTTCTTGTAGATGGTTGGCACAGAAAAGACATTTTGAAGAAAATTGATGACTATCTCGAGTTGGGACATTATAAATGGGACGAAGGTTTTGTCTCTGGTGCTGTCTATAATTTTGATGCCAAAATTCTTGAATTGGTAACAAAAGTTTATGGAAAGACTGCATACACTAATCCTTTACATCCAGATGTTTTTCCTGGTGTCTGTAAAATGGAAGCTGAGGTTGTGAGAATGGTCGTGAATTTATTCAATGGCAATTCAAGTTGTTGTGGACAAGTCACAACCGGTGGCACTGAATCAATTGTCTTAGCTTGTAAAGCATACAGAGATTATGGACGTGAAGTTAACGGAATTGAAAGACCAAATATGGTTATACCAACAACAGCACATTCTGCTTTCGATAAAGCTGCTCAATTCTTTGGTGAGTTACTGATCTTCATTTGTATCTTGATAACAACATAATGCTTATCAGTGCCTATTTATCTTAATCTTTTTTGATCTTTTAGGAATTACCGTAAAGACTGTAAAAGTGGACCCAAAAACTTTTCAAGTGGACCTTAAAGCAATGGAAAGAGCTATCAATAAAAATACTATTATGGTAATTATTGTCCACCAAAAATGGTTTCGCTATTAACTGCAGACCACAAAAGTCAAGATTCAAAATATTTTAAATTCATGACCTTGACCATTACCCCTCAAAATGTTGATCTCCGCAGATGAACCTCAATTTATTCATTTCATTCCTTTTTCATTCACAACAGCTTGTTGGCTCGGCACCAAACTATCCTTATGGAGTCATGGACGACATTGAAAAGATAGCAAAACTGGCACGAAAATACAAAATTCCATTACACGTTGATGCATGCTTGGGTGGATTTCTAATTATATTCATGAAACGAGCCGGCTATCCCTTACCGAAATTTGATTTTTCAATCAAAGGAGTCACAAGTATTTCATGCGATCCACACAAATATGGATTCACTCCGAAAGGTAAATTGTTAAAGAATGTTTGTGATGATATTCTTGTTAAATGGAAATTTTCATGCTTTCTGATTGAATTAGTCTGTAAATAATGAAATTAACTTTGTTTTTGTAATTTTTTAATTGTAGGAAGTTCTCTCATTCTGTATTCTGATAAGGCCTACCGTCAACATCAATATACAGTCACTGTTAATTGGCCTGGTGGAATTTATGGGTAAGAAAAGATAAAATTAAATTAAAAGGGACTTTTTTTAAGATTTTTTCTTGAATATTTGACTTGGAATCTTCTGTTTTTAAAGTTTTTTGAATTCAGTCATGAGTTTTTTGGTACGAAAATAATCAAGGTTAACTCTTGCCACTTTTTTAAACCAAACCAAGTCATGATGTTTTAGTTTTAAGTAATCTCTCACGAGAAAACTCAAAAAAACTTTTTGAGGTGGACTTTTTTTTCACAAGTCACAATTCAAATTGAAAATGTACGTTATTTAAATAATGGACTCTGAAATTAATAACTATTAACAATCTTTATTAATATATCTATTTATATCAAAATTTAATTTTGCAGAAGTCCAACAGTATCCGGTAGTCGTGCAGGAGCAAACATTGCAACAACATGGGCATGTCTTCTTTATCATGGTTTTGATGGTTATGTTGAAAGCACAAAAGCTATTATTGATACAGCAAAATACATTGAAAGCAAGATTCGACCCATTAAAGGCCTTTTTATCTTTGGAACACCAGCAACATCAGTCATTGCCATGGGATCCAAAGACTTTGACATCTTCCGATTATCAGATGTTCTCAATCAAAAGGGCTGGAATCTTAATGCTCTCCAATTTCCTAGTGGAATTCACATTTGTGTAACTAATCTGCACACCAAAGATGGAATTGCAGATCGATTTGTCAAGGATGTCGAAACCGTTGTGAAGGAACTTATGAAAAATCCAGAAAAGCCTGTTGAAGGCAAAATGGCAATTTATGGAGTATCACAGACAATTCCTGATCGTTCAATTGTTGGAGACTTCACGCGTCTCTTTTTAGATTCACTGCTTTTTACACCAAAGAAACCCAAGAAACTGTCGCGAGGTGACAACAGAATTGAGAAAATATCAAGCATCGAGAATCAAGTCGAGTCAAATGATGTCACATTGATGAACGAATAGATGCAGATTTTATTGTGTTTTAAGCTAGATAGTTTTATTGTTTCTAACTTCATCTGGATGTCATTAAATAATATATAGAGAATTTTTTATTGGATCAATGATCATAATAGAGGATTTGACTTCAAATCTTTAGTAATGGCTACGATTCTGCCAGTTATAAAATGTTAATCCACAAACTAAAATTTCGAATCCGTCATTCATTTCTTTAGCTGTTTTATGTCTGATTTCACAGCAAATTTTTTGCTGCTGTTAACGAATTTATTTGACAATTTTGAATTTTCAAGGATATTCTTCGAATCTTCTCCTTGGTGTTTATAAAAATATCAAAAAAATGTTCAAATTTACATCCTTCATGTAGATAAATGTTAATCATACAAAAAGTAGATAGATATGTCATTTTGCGAAGTTTTGAGTTGTAGAGTAGCTTGATGCTGTAAAGTAACTGCTTTGATGTCAACCATTTGAATATTTTAAACGAGTTTATTCACTCATATCGATGTAAATTTCCGCCATCAAATATTCCGCCCTTCATCAAGTGCATGCATATAAAAATGAAATTAGACATAAACTTTGGCAGTTCTTTAATCGACAAGCAGAAAATTAATTAAGCCTATCTTTATGATGTTCATATTAATTGTAACTTTTGAGGCTTTTCAATATCTTCTTTCCTTATTTTTTAAATAAAAGCTAAGTCACGAAAAAGTAATTAAAAGTAAAAAGATATTTCAAGAAATTATTCTTTCCTGCCTTTACATTTCATCATTAAATTGGATTTTTAAATAATTTGTAAATTTAAAATTTTAATGAAAATATTTTTAAGATTATTATAAAGTTTTAATTCTAGAAAAAGCTGTAAAAATTCAAAAATTTATTATTAAAAATTCCGCTTTCTAATGAAAGCTTTTAGCACTTGTTATTTTCAATAAATGTACGAATTATGACTAACTTTAATGCCTTGTTTTATTTTACAAGAATCGATTCAAAAATGCTTCTTCAAGCACAACTTCAAAATCACATTCAGGTCACGATATCAATCCAAGTTTCCTTCTTAGCTTTTTTGCCCCTTTCACAATCGATACCTTAAATCATACAGGATGTATTTCCTCAATCGAACAAGCAAAAAAAAGCTTAAAAGTTTCCTTCATTTTTCATTTCCTTTACACATTTATCTTCCTCAAGTACAAATTTGTTGACTTGCATATGCACAACATCATTCTCATCAGTAACACAAATCCAATTTTTTTTTGCTACTCTATCGCATTTTATTCCTCCTTTTACATGATTGAATTTATTTTGACAATGCATGTTTATTTGATTCTATTCCTCATTCCTCGCTTTTTATTCAATAAAAATATGAAGCTCGATAATATTCAATAGACGATTTTTTTGTCATCTTAAAAACTTTATTTTTCGCTCACATGATTGCCATTTTTTTCAAATTCTGAGGAGGGAAAGAAGTTATTGTAAGTTGTTGGAATTGGATTAAATAATTGATGATAAAAGCGCATTTTTAAAGTTTGATGAAAATTAAAATTGCTTGAGAATTTTGACATAGAAGGGGGTTCAGATCTATGGATTATTAGAGTCAATGACAATTCCTAAACTTTGAGTTTTCGAGGTTGATCTTAAGATACCTGAATCCGTTCTTGGTATAAGAACAAGCCAGACAACCACACCAGTCTCAAATTCTCAATTTTTGACAATTCTCAGAATTCAAACCCCGAAAAATATCAATAATTCAAATCCACTTTCAATTCTTCATCTTAAATAAAACTTTATTGAACAATATGAAGACATTTTAATGCAAAGGGTTCGACACTTTATTCCTCTTTATTTTTTCTATGACCTCAACATCTTTTATCACAATTCTTCTTTTCCTTAAAAAAATACATTTTTCGGTTTTTGCTATGTCAATAAACTGCTTTTGAAAGGAACGTGAGCGAATGGGCTTCTTTATCCTTGTTATAGATTTATTATTTGATTATACTTCACGGTATTTGAATTATTGAGTCAACGTGAAACATGTGCCACACATGAAGAGAATGATAGGCAGGCAAAAGGAGCATAGAAACTTTCAAAAGTGCTTCTAATTGAAGTGTCTATTGTGGTTGATTTTGTAACAATCAGGAAGCCTTTTTTTTGTATTATCTAGAGAGTATTGAAGTATAGAAATCGAAATCAAATTACTTTTGAAATCAATGATGGGGATGTGGTGTCCTTTTTGGAGTGGCTGATGTTTGAAGAATAGATTTATGGATATCATGGGTTAGGATTAATGCTTAAAAATGTAGAATTTCAATTTCAAGATAGGTTGCCTTAGGTAGCTTCAGAAACCATCCTAGATTTATTTTTACCCACAACATCTTTAAAAAGAATGCTTGCAATAGAATTGCTGAAGATTGCAATGATTACACTTAAATTATTGTAATACACAATGCATGTATACACAAAATGGATGCAATATGAAAACCAATTGACAAAACCCGATCAGCACAGACAAGCTTTGTATGTCAATCACATGACACAATAAAAAAAAAAAGGGATGAGCAAGAGCTTAGCAAGATGGGTGGAGGGTTGATCTGGTTAGTGACAGCCAAATAAAGGCCATTAACAGAAAAATGCTCCTCGGGATGTCAAGCAGAGCTTACAAGATAGACATCAACAAGGTAATGTTGTTCTGTAGAATGCATTCATGTAAAAGAAACTAGATGAAGGAAGAAAATGAAATTATTTGCAAATTCATAGCTCATCAAAACATGCATCAACCTTGATTGTGTAGCATATGAAGAACATTGCAGTCTTTGTGTGGAGCTTATGGATGAAAAAAAGTTGAAACTTATGTTGATGCTATAGGTTTGATAGTAAATGAAAGTCATACTTTGTGACTTGATTGTAATATGTTGATGAGATTTTCGATGGCAAGATGTGAGGTTGAATGGAAAAAGTTTTAAGTTTTTGAAATGTATATTCTGAGAGGAACTTAGTAGTTTTTAATTTTTGTAAAAGTTTCAAGTCGCTTGACATATTTTCAATGATTCCCCTTAGACCGTTTATCATCCGTACAATGTTTATGATTACTATAACAACAGCCATAACATCAAATATTAATAACAATAAAAAGCATTCCATGTGAAGCTCCATTTAAGCCATAGGGAACAGAAACAATGAGACAAGATGTGAAAAATTAAAAACAATTTTAAACGATTCTAATGCACAAAACTACATCCATAAAAATGCAGAACAAATGCAAGAAAAAAATTCCACATCAAAAGAACAATCAAATTGCATTGAATATCCAAGCACAGACATGCATGAGATTGAAATTTCTCCATCTCATGTGTCTCATAATGGTGATGTGAATGCACCCAAGGGAATTTTGCAGTGAGGAAATCATTCTCATTGGTAAAGTGTGAAGTTTCTTGCGGCACTTTTCAAGTTTGCTCTTGATTTATTTTGCTTGAGCTGATGTTGGCGTGCTTAATGTAAGAAAATATTTTCATATTCAAAATTCAACTCATGGTGAACAAAAGAGTGAGAATACTGTGGCTTTTAGGATTTGAGAACTTAATTTCTAAGTTTTGATTGAGCTAGAATTTGATCAGCTTGTCTTCTCAGGGAGATAGCCCTGTTTTTCAGAAAGAAGACTAAGACACTAATGAATTATGATGATACTCAATCTAGTGCTTAAACTGTTCCAAATCCATAAAAAATCGCCCTTTTAAAGTTTTCACTGGTGCTAAGTTGCATGTTTTTAACAATTGTGACGCATCGTTGCGACATTTTTCAGAAACCTTTCAGTATGCTTCACGCTTTCATGTAATGACTCCTAATTATTTTTGATTACTTTATAGTTGATGACTTTGTAACATGATTTTGTGAGGAATTCTCTTGCAAGCTTCCTCAAACCATCATGAAAATTCAATCGGGAATCTTCAATAAATCACAAAAAATGCAGGCTGCATTTTTTAATCAAGAATGACATCCTCGTCATTTTACTGCCTTATTAATTTCCGTGTAAACTCAATTTTCCATCGACAATTAGTTCCAAATTGCCACACTCATATGCAAATTTATGTAAATTTTATTTCATTAAATTATGATGTAAGCTGCAAGTATATAAAGTTCATTCTATAGAGAGTGCAATCAGTATCGATTACAGTGCATGTAATTCATTTCAACAAGTTTATTGCATCTGATATGTACAGCAAGCAAATGTTCATGCAGAAGAAGCATTATAAAAATATATGCAAAGTTTATTTATTATAAGCATGGGAGATTTTTTACATTGTAAGCTATTGTTGAATATTTTTCAAGATTGCTTGCTGTTATCATGAACATTAAGATTGAAAAATGTGCATTGAGCTTTTGTTGGACTGATTTGGGAGCTGCTGGGGTTTATATAGTTGGATATAGGGTTGGATACTTTAACTAGTAGCTAGTATCACATTGAGTTTGAGTTTAACGGTCCAAATTTTAAAGAAGAGCATCAAAACCTTCAAAAAGATCATTACAAGTTCAGAGGCAGTGTGGAATATAATTTTTAAAGTTAACATTTTGCACGTAAAAAAAAAATCACAATTTTATTTAAAATAATAAAAATATTCTACAAAATTCTTCCAAATCCTTAAAATATTTTCAAACTTTATTTTGTTTACATCAACAATAGTTCTCATACTAGCCATTATGCAAACATGTATTAAATATATACCATAAGTATGAAATGATAGGTTGATAAATACTTGAAACAAGAAGTGCTTCTTAAGTGTTTACAAAACAATATGACGGTGACATTTATGTGACACATTGATGAAGGAATGAGTGGCATTTAAGGGGTGAACAGCACTCGCCTGGAGTATAGCACTATTTTAAAATGAGATAAAAATATTGAAAATTGTTTAAAAATGAATTAAAGCTTAAATGATTAATTACTTTCTGTCCAATATCCATACACTTAGCTGGAGCTGGTGGTGATGAAGTCTCATCTTCACTAAAACGATTGTCCAATTCCTGTTGAGTAGGCTTATTGTATCCAAATGTCTCAGTTCCACTAATATAAACTGATTTGTCCCGACAAACATTTTTCTCGCAGCTCAAAAAGTCGCAACACTTAAGGGATGATGTGCACTAAATGAGAGAATAGAAATGTAATCATCATAATCGTTTAAATGAATGTGAGAATAAAGTAGATGATAGAAGGAGGATTTAAGCTTAACACTTAATGTTCTTTAAAATTGAGTATTACAAAATAAATTGAATGTAATTTTGTCAAATTTTTACACAAGAACTTTTGCTATTTTGATCTTAATAGTTCATTTTATCATGGTAAGTCGTCTGGGTATTATGTTAAGCTAAGATTAGATAATGATGGATTCAAAAGAGATAGTAGAGTCCAGAATTTTTTTTTTATTTTTTTTTGGTGGTATACCGTTAATTTTACAGCTACTGACACACATCTCTTAATATTGAATATCAACCTAGTCCCAAATATCTACAAATTCTAACAAAAAGGAAAGAGAAAATGCCAATAAAAAGAGATTTGCAAGCTGTAATCAAGTGCCATTTTTATGACTGTAATAATGACTCAGCAAAATTTGTTCATTCTTAAATTCTTCTCTGTCCAAAAAAGTTTCTAAATGTCTCGAATGGAATGAAGAAACTTACAAAAATGATGAAAATGAAAAAGTTTCTTTGTGATGAAAAATTATTACTTTTCCTTTTTCTTGTTCATGTCTTGTAAGCCATATGGATATAAAATGGAATGAATGAGAATAAAAGCAATTCACAACTTGTTGAATCAGAAGCATAAAGTCTGCAATAAAGCCATTTTCTGAGGGATTCAGTTTTTTGAAATTGTATAATTCCGATGTTTTGAAATTAAAGGAAAGTTGAGTATGGGATATGATAAGGATAGATGACTAAGAGTGCATTTTATACCACTATGACTCCTTTTTGGCAGTAAACCAAATTTGGCCTTACTGAACTCTCATGAATCTCAAGAAAAATTATTTAAATTTGCACAACTTGTTACCTTAACAAATCTAAAGCAAACAAGCAACCAAACCCAAAATTATGTCCATATCCATGTTGGCTACCATATGTCCACTCATGCATATGATCAATTTCATTTGACGCATAAAAATGCCTTTATTAAATATTCTCGAAGATTTCTAAAGCAATTGAGATGGAAAACATTTGCAAATGACGTCAGGTTGTGTTTCTTGAAGCTTAACATTGCTAAATTTGTTTGCTTTTCCTGGCTTGGAAACGAGTTGAATGAATCTTAAAGTTTTGTAAGTACAGAAATAATATTTAATAATAAAAGCTAGGATGCTAAAATTTCATTTCAAAAGTGTAGGAGTAAGTTTTAAAATATTAAGTTTCTATCAAGTTCAACTAATTAAAGGTTTAATTAACAAGTAGAAAGTTTTATAGGAGTTCGATTTAAGTTGTTAAAAACTTTTCTAGTGAGACTTCAAAGCTTTTTAATCGAAAAACACTTCAAGTTTGAGAGTAATTCATTTTAAAGTCAAAAAATCTTTTTATAGAACATTAAAATACATTTTGAAATTGAAATTGAGATTAAACAGTTTTAGATTGACTATACTCAAAAGATACAGTTTTGCACTTAAGAACAGTTCATTATTTTCAATTCTTGTTTTCCTATTAAAAATATACACAAACCACGCAAAAATTGGGAATTCCCGAGATAAAAAAAAACGAGTTTAAAGATTAGTGTCACTCTAGACATCTCTCAAAAGAAATAAAATCAACATTTGTCCTTGACAAGATTAAGTCTTCTTATTTCAGTTCATTGACTTTTCTAAGGTTTGACACCAAAATTGCAAACATGACATAAAAAGTTTCATCCAATTTGACTAAATATGAAGCTTTAAAGTCGTAAACATAGCAATTGACAATTGAGATGACTGATATGACAAGATTTAAGTCCTCATAATCCACAAATCCTTTATGTTCTGATATAAAACCGCAAAAAATTCAACATCTTTACGGTTTAAGATTATATCGAGTACTTTGACACCAAGAGCATTAGTAAGTACATTTGTAACTGAACATTCTTATTTGCTCAAGCATTTGTCACATCGCAAGATGAAGGATGGATGAAGGAAATTAATCAAACGAAGATTGTGTAATGAGCTTGAAATATCGCTTTAACTTATTAAAATCCATTCTATGAACAGCCTTGATATTGTGAATTGAATAAATTAAATTAAATTCTTCGATGGATCATTGCTTGATTTGATTTTTGATTTATTGAGCCTATCAGCAAGTGGGGGGATTGAGAAAGATTTAGTAACTGAAATTCTGATTGATTTGGTAGTCTGTATTAATTATTGGTCTTCAAAAGCTGACGGGTTAGTAATGAATAGAAGATTTAGTCTTAACACAACCGCTAAAGAGCCAATTGTAACTTGGGAACCCAAAAAAGCATAAGTTGATCATTAAAATAACAAATCGTATCAAATTTTCTCACCTTTTTGCTCTTTCCTTGGCAATTCTTTCCTTCATCCTCATTAAAACGATTATCAAGCGTTAAATTTGACTGCTCTTGGTTCTGTTGCTGATTCGTTAAATTGACGTCATTTGCGCTCGCTGTCATGACATCTGAAGTCATGCATTTACTTGAAGTACAATTTTTTGAGCAACAGTCTGTATTATCTTTACACTGAAAATAATTGTCGAGAAGGAAAAATATGAAACGAAATAATATTCATGTAGAATGTGTTGTTCTGATAACAAGTCAGGCGTTATTTGTGTGTAATTTCTTAAGCACATAATTTCTTCTACTTTTTCTTTGTTCATCGACCTTTGATTTGTGTGTATGTAGGTGATAAAATATGTTTTAATTCTTAAGTGCAATTCAGGTTATATATCTAGATTTAATAGAGTATATTGAACTTTATGATGCTTAGAAAACATATTTGCATCTATGAATGAATCATTATATGAGTATTTGAAAATAATATTTGACATAAGAAGTCTTAAAAATCCTTAAACTAGAAATCTTTGTCGAAATTTGTAACAAAACAATAATCTGAATCATCTTGCTTTCTTGTGGTGATTTCCGATAAATTTACAGACTACTGCTGAGTTTATAGCTTGATTTTAGTACTAAGATCTCCAAGAAAAATCTAAACTTATAAGAGATTCAACTTAAATTAAGATTTAATTTGAATTTTATGAATTTTATAAACTTTGCTACTTAGAAATTGAACTATTGTCATAAATGAAGACAGATCAGTTCTTTAATAAACGTTTGGAGACTGAATTTCAATTCAACTAAGAAGTTTTAACTAAAAACGTCACGATTTTTCAATAAAGATTCAATAAACAGCACTTACATCTCGCAATTAATTATATTTATTTTTCATCATCAAACTATTCTCTTATCAATTAATTGCAATCTCATTCACTTACGTAGTCACCTTCATTAACACAAATCGGCTTCTGTCCTGATCCAATAAATGATGGTCTTTGTCCATAAACAGTAATTGTGATTCCAATAATAACAATGAAAGTTATAAAAACTTTATCCATTTTCTTAACCAAAGTTATTCCTTATTACGATTTAAATGACAAAAAAATAAATATATATCGGTAAATGCGATGACTAAACCTGTTGTACACTCAATATTTACCGATCAACTGAACTAGCTTTAAAGAAATTGAGAATATTTAAAAGAGCGTAAGAATATGTCAAACGTGATTATGAATAAAAAGTCCATATTAGTGTGTACATGTTTAATGAATGGATGATCATGAGAAAGAGAATGAGAGGAAATGTCGATTGTGAGTAAAAGACAAAGAAGAAGCTTACGATAATGAGTAAAGCTTTTGTTGTAAATATGTATTAATGAGTGTGCATCTCCTTGGGATTCAATGCAATATTTACTTTACATCCTGGGTGTTAATTACTATTTGTATTGTCATAGCATTCATGAAAGGGGTTCTATCTGATCAAGCTGTGATATGATAGCCACTTTTTTTCAAAATTGCAATTTTCCATGTAAACTTAATTAATATTTTAAATGCTAAAATAATAAAATAAAGTTCCTAGAACCTTATCATTTGCCATACCCCTACTAATGAGCTCATATAAATATTTTCTTATGCAACTTCAATTTCCATATGAATAATTTAATACAAAAACAATAAAAGCAAATATTATGCATGGTAGAATTTGAAACACATTTCTGCTTTGATGTGCAATATTTTATTGTTTTGTAATGTTGAGCATTGCTCTACATGCATTGATGATATCAATTTTTTATTGCACTACAGCTTTCAATGAATTTTTTATTCTCGATGATTCAATCTAGTTTTTTTATTTATAGAATTTTTTTTTTCATTTTATGTTCTATGTTGTTAATGTACTTGAAGAGTTCAATGGAACTGATATTTATAGAATGAATAATTTTTGATCTTTCTCAATTCATTGATTCACTTTTTTCATGTCAAAATATTATTTTATCTAAATTATTTATTTATACATTTTAATATTGATTTCAATGGCTTTGAAATATTGACTTTGATACTTGTTTTGTGGAAGTAGAAGTAAAAGAATTATTTTCGTAACTTTAATCGGTTTTAGTATTTATAAATGTTGACATTGACATTTAAAATTGGAAGCAATATTTTTGCTAATGCAGCAGTTTCAATTTAATATTGAAATTTATTTATGGGCGTGGCTCAGTATCATACAGGTAATAAAAGAAGGAAGAATTGGATCCTCAAAAGAGCCTTTTATTCTGATGAAATATGTTAATGACAAGCATAAATAATTGCCTGATGAAACCTTCAAAAATTATTTCTACAGAATTCTCACCAAAATTCCTATCTCTTGACTTTTCGGAAGTAAATTTTCAGCTTACTTATCATTATCATTTACATTATTAATGACACGAGTTTCCTCATCAGAGACCTACTTTACGTCACACATTTACACCTGAGTAGTTCCACAAAATGTAATAAAAATCACCAATTTATAATTAAATAAATAAAATCATCACAACCACAACCGGAAATGCTGAGTAATTTAATCAAAATGTCAAGAATCCCACGATATTTATTCTAGTATTGATAGTAGGAATAGGAAAAGCTTGTAAAATTATTTATCATCAACAAAATGAACGACTTTGATCTTGAATCAATTCACGTCTAAAAATATTTTCATTACTGTCAGTCACACAATCATAATGCGTACGTGTGTGGATGTGATGGTCAATGGAAGTAATTTACGACGGTATTTTCCATCTGTTTTACAAATTATTAGCAGATTTTGATAGAAAGTTGGGAAATTCTGGAGGTATTTTAGGTTGTTGTCCAAGCAGCAATCGTTTGAAGAATCTTGATGGTATTTTGATATTATTGCTACAGTATGAAGGTTCTGATAAAAGCACAAAATCTAGAAACAGGCCATGATTCACCGTTATGTCTTCATCTGACTTAGGTTTCTATGAACTTGTTACTGACTGTGTGCTACTTCTCAATTTCACACACTCAATTGTCAAATTACATTTTCACAAATATCAATCCACAACTCATAAATATGTGTGGCTTCTTCTCTTATCTTTTGTTCCTCTTCAGCCATATTTTATTTTCTGTATCAAAAGACATTCCTCTTATCAGCCTCGTTGAATTTTTCAATAAATATGAGCGACTGTTAAAACCCATTCAGTTATTCTGCCTAATTTCTTTTAAGGAAAAGCATCGAATTGAACTAGAAAGAAATAAAAAATCAGGACAAAAATGAAATTCTTCGTACTTTTGGCATTTATTGGATTAGCAGCAAGTCAGTCGTTTGACGCACGATGTCCACGTGGACCAGGTGATAACCGACCTGAAGTTTTTGGAAATCCAATGGATTGTACACATTTCTTCAGATGTTTTGAAGGACGTGCATTGGAATTAAGATGTCCAGGAGGATTATACTGGTCTAATTCACATCAATCATGTGAACAGGAACATCTTTCAAACTGTATCCAGCCAATCAGCAGACCAAGACCAATCGAACCAAATCCAAACTTCCTTCAATGTCCACTCTTTGATGTTCCCGGTGAATTTGTTTACTTCCCACACAGAACCGATTGCCAACAATTTTATCAATGCAGTGCTGGACGTGCAGTTCAATTGGAATGTCCACCAGGATTCTCATGGAATATCGAGAGAACATTCTGTGATCAACAACGTAATGTTCATTGTGTAACGCCGAGAAACCACTAAAATGTTCTCAATATAAAAAAGATGTTTTTCTTCTTACTTCCACTCAGTTCCAGTTGTTCTCCTTTTTTATTTCCCTACAGAAAAAATGCTTTGTTTTGTAAATGATTCATGAATAAAATTCACATTCAGAATAAAAATACAAGAAATGTCAGTTGCGATCATTTTTATTATTTCAGCACACGAACAGCCATAAAAGTTAATATTTCTACGCAGCACAAACTTCTTATCAATTCATGATGTACTTTTGAGTAAATTACTTTGTAATTGCTACAAGCAACATCAATGGAGGCGACATAAAAGTGAATGAGGAACCGAAAATGACAATTTGTGTAGCTGTTTGTAAATTGTTTGTACTGGTTTTACGAGCATTTATCTCATTATGATCTGTTTTCCTTAATTATTTTCAAAAATCGATGTTTTCTTAATTAACTGGAAATAGAAGTAAAGTTGTTGAACAATTTGTTGGGACATAATTTGCTGTTTTTTGAGACAATATTTATGAAGCAAGTAGAGAACTTTGAAGAGATGTGAGGACATTGCGCATATTTAAGGAAGCTTCACTCTTTTGTGGAGTCTTTGGACTGAGTTGTTCACTTTTTACTCACACCTGTAAGTTGGGGAGTCTAAAATCGCATAATAGAATGGGAAAATGGGCGGGAAGGCATATTTTATACATGACACATTTGAAATTCTTGAAGGTGATTTACCATGAGTCATATCAAGTGACACTGAAAAAAAGGCCAGTGCCAATTCTTCAGAACACTTATTTGGAAAGATAGGTTCCAAAAATTCACACTTCCTGTTTAAATGGCTACACGCATAGTTCGGTAAATTCACTCTTTGATGTTATATTGTTGCTGTTTTTAGACATATATTTTAAAAGTAATTTTGTTTCCTCTAATAATTTTACTGATAAGAACTATTAAGATGGTAGTTCCGACAACTTGACAGGACATGATGTTCAACATCAGTTACGTCATAATGATGACAAGTTATTGTTTGAATGATGCTTGTATGAATATAATTTATGCTTCTTATCAAGGATTAGGATTAGGACTAAAGAACTAGTTTGTGCAATTATCACACTTTATGACAGCATTTAAATTTGATGATTTAGATAAATTTCAAAAATCTCAGCAGAACTATTGACTGCTTTCCCAGAAACTGCAAAAAACTCCCCCAGCTCCCAGAATTTCACAAATTCATCAACACATGCACAACTTTATTCTTCTCAATTTCTCAGTATTGAAAATATTTTGTTCCTGTAAAGGCATACGAATCGATATCATCATCGAATACCCATTACATCCTCTCACACGCACCAATTAAACTTTTTCTTTCTCGCGGGTCAAAATTCACACCTGTGTTGAAAAATAAAGAACTGATAAGAATTCATTGTTCCTATATAAATAATTTGATGATTGTGACATTCTCTAGTCATTTTATTTTAGGCATTTGGTGCTTATAGATCGAAGTAAACGGAATAAGATTGAAAACTAAAGGAACTTCTTTGTTGATAATGAGAAATTGTGTTTCTATATTGCTACTGCTTGCCATTGCGGTAAGTATTGGCAATGCACAAGTTGAACGACAAAATCCACCAGGGAGACAAGGTGCTGCACCAGTCCCAAGACAACAACCAGGAACAGGAACTGCCCCACAAAGACCAGGATCACCGTTAGCACCAGGAGCTGCAAGACCCGGTGTGCCTCAACGACCAGGCAGTCCTCCAGCTCAAAGTGGACCAAATAGACAACAAGGTCCAGCACAACCAGGAAATCCACCAGTTTCAAGAGCAACAAGAGCTCCTGGTTTAGTTCCAAATGCTCCATCTCGTCCAAATCCACAACAAAGTAAGTTGAAGTGAATAATATGTGAAAAATAAGAAGATTTGAATGTTTTGTGCTAGTGATACCAGTGTCAAGTGAAAAAATATTTAAATGAAATAACCGTAAAACTAATTTTGGTATGTCCTTAATAGATGGCGGTCCAGCTCCAAGAACACCAACAAATCCATCTGTAAGAGCTCCTCCACCTCCATCAGCTGGTCGTCCAACAACAGCTCCAGTTGTTCAAGCTCCACAACCTCCAAGACCTAGCCCACCAAGTGCAAATCCAAGACCACCAACTGGAAATCCACCAAATCCAAATGCACCAGGCCAATCTCCCCCTGCTCCAGGTCCATCACCCCCAGTTCCAGCCCCAACATCATCTCCAGTTGTAAACGCACCTACTTTAGCACCAAACAATCCAGAAAATGTTACTGGACTTCCTCAATTCCCAACAGCACCAACTGTTGCTCCAATTCCCCCAATTCGTCCAGTTCCACCACCTCAACCAAACAATCCATCAAATCCAGTTGGCAGACCAGATCGTCGTTGTCCAATGGTTACAGATGCACGAACACAAGTTCAATTGCCACATGAAAGTGACTGCGAACGATACTATAAATGTGAAAATGGATTAGCTTTTGAATATCGTTGTCCAGATGGTCAGCACTGGAATTTAATGAGAGATGTTTGTGAATCACCAGCTACAGCTGGCTGTCGTACAGGTGGAAATGTCAGTTGGAACAATAATCTTCCAAACTGGAACAATAACATGCCATCATGGAATAGTCCACCACGTAATCCAAATCCAGGTTATGAACATCCAATCATCATTCCAATGGCACCAAGAACTTGAAAAATGAGACAATAACGATTGATTTGCGGCACCATAAACCGTGCCTGATTTTTTGTATTTTTTTTTCGATCTATAAGTGAACAACAACAGAATTTATTTTAGACTATATTGTTAATATTATTTTTATTGGTATTGGTATTATTATTTTTTATTACTATTATTATTAATTACTATTTTTTAGTACGAACATTAAACAACAACCTGAACTTTTTTTTATCGTTAAACAACAAAAGCAACGAGAACTTGTACTTTAAGTGTTGCTCTTTTTGTTATTATTACTTTATTCTTGATAACAATCTCCCTCGATTCCATTTGTGATGAATGAAACTTTTTTTTTTGTGTGAAGGAACAACAAAAAAATTACTACAAAAAACAAAAATTATCAACAACAAAAAAAAAATATTGTATTAAGCACGTGTATTATTTGTGATGAAAATTTTTTGAATTGAAACATCGAACAAAAAACTCATTGAAAAATGAAATAAACTAAAATAAAGGAGAAAAATTAAAAAGGAGAATAAATAAAAACTGGAGAATTGAGAAGAAAAATATAAAAATTAAATTCAAAAATTGTTTACTATTTCAATTATTCTTATTTCAGCTTTACTAAGAAAATTCGGAAACATTAGGGGTCGTTCCCTTATGACGTCCGAAATTAATGGTCAGTTTTCATAAAAACAACAATCCCCCCAAACGGTCATTTTTTCAAAAAAGAACAATGAATTCCTGGAATTAATGTTGGTCCCTCAACCAGCCCAAAAAAGAACAACCCCCCCCAAATTAACGACCATTATTCCAAAAAGAACAATCCCCCCCCCCCCCCCAAATTAACGAACATTTTCAAAAAGAGCACCCCCTTCAAAATTAATGGTCATTTTTCAAAAAAGAACAATGGACTTGCCGGAATTTCTGTTGATCTTTTCTTTTTGACCACTTCTTATTGACGTCATAAGTGAACGGCCCTTTAGTTTTAAATTGAAAATTTAATAACTTATGAATTTGCTAAAGCTCATACCTAGCAGTAGAAACCGAAAAAGCAATTTTTTCTTTAAATCCAACAAACTTTGGAAGTCTCAAACTATTTCAAAAGAAAGTCTTCTTCTTCCCCAATACGTCAACTCAAGAAGCTAAGCTCAGCTATGCTTTCTCGCTATCGGGATCGGGATCGGGATTTCCCGGGATTTACCGATCCCGATCAATCCCGGGATCCCGAAATTTATCGGGATCGGGATTGAAAATCCCGGTTTTTTAGTTTAGGAAATTATTGATGTTTTAGAACCTGCTAAATACGCGACAGAAGAATTATTGCGTAAATCAAACGATTTATTAATTGCTGAAGGAACAATTAACTTTTTGCTAGACGAATTGTTGCTACAAGGAACATTATTGTCTCAAAAGGTTTACGATATGAATTGCGCTCGCATAGGTGCACGAAGAAATGGAACATTAATTGACTTAATACTTTACCTGAATAATCCTCAATATATTTCTTTAGACAAGCATTTTAAATCGTCAACAAAAGCTGCAATACATAAACTTGGCATTGACTTATTGAAGAAGTATTTTGTCAAAAACTCTACAAATGGAGCTATGGTAGCTTCAACATCCAGTGCAAATCAAATCCAACCGTCAAACATTTCTATTCGAGATAGACTGAAACTAAGCATATCTGAATATACATCATTAACAACAGATGCAGCAGCAACAGAACCAAATAACTTGAAAAGAGAGTTTAATTGGTATGACAAAAATAAGAAGAGAACCGTTTTATTAAATCAACTTTACGATGCATTGATAACAATGCAGCCGACCTCAACTCAAAGCGAACGAAATTTCTCTATTAGTAACAACATTCTTACAAAACAAAGAAAACGTTTACTTGACAAGAATCTAAATGCAATTGCATTTGTTAAAAGTTTTTTCATTAATGCTTAATTTTTATTATTATATTCACACCGTTTTCTATAACCTTTTAACTTACATCTTTATCAACATTTATTTTCTATTTTTGTTTATGTTCACATTTTTCAAAGGAAACATGGATTAAAACATCTACCTTGTAACACATAAAGTATAACTAATTATTTAAGGAATAAATGACCGTACAAGTAGCAAAAAAATATATAATTTTTTTTGGGAAAAAAAGCAGAAAAATGCTGTTTTTTAAATTTTTTTACATATTCGGGATTCCCGGGATTTCCCGGGAAATCCCGAAAAATTTCAATCCCGATCCCGATCCCGAAAATTTGTCGGGACCGGGATTTCGAGAAAGCATAAGCTCAGCTAAGAAAAAAAAATTCACTTATTCTTCTTTGTTTGCATTATTTGTACAAGCTCATGAGGATGAAGATGAAGTTGATGGAAAAATGTTGCTGCAGCAATTGAAAAACATGGCAAATTTACACAGCAAGCCACTCAAAATGAGAAAAAAAGTAGAAGCAGCAAAATAGTATGTTGAGTGAATGAGGTGGTTATGTGGCAAGCATGGAGCATAAGGGGATAAAATGAATGGAAAAGTTTACTTTCATTTCAAGCATTTCAATCTTCATCAACCTGCAACTATCCGATTCGGAAAGAAGATAAAGTTTGTGTGCTGTAATTACGTGATAACTTTTCTACCTTGGCTTGTGCGAGCAGATTGCTCGTTTCACTTATCTGCTTTGTTTTTTTGGCTGTTTGTTGTCTTGCTGTTGCTTAATAAATTCATTGTGGATGTAGAAATGGTTTTAAAGGTTTGTTTCTGCTTAAGGAGGCGTTCAAAATGATGTGGAGAGGCTAATGACTCCTTGTGCTATGTTTTCTTTGAATAATACAGTAGTTAACTTCCAGGATTCTCAAAACATCGAGCATTGCCAATAAGTAATCTAAACTCATCGTGCATTCTTCCAATTGTAAAAATAAATCCTTTCTTCCTACATTCTTCTATTTATTCAACTTCTGCTTCATTTGATTAAGTTACACAACTTTTAATTGCGAGTCTGTCGTAGTGAGCAATTTTCTGCTTCCTTTTTCATGCTCGCAAGTCGCATCGTTAGCAACAAGATAGTTTTATTTACCCTCGAGCATCCAAATAAATACAGTCACCAGGAAAAGAATAAATAGAATACAATAAAATAAAAAAAGAATCTTTACACTAAATTGCATTGAGCATTTATTGATGGGGGGGGGGGGGGGGGGGCATCTGGCACTTTCTACTTGAAGCTCAATTTTTTTTAAGAACTTTACAACTTTTGGATGAGCTCTTTGAAAAACATAAAAAAATCCAAAAAAGAGCTTTTTACTTTAAAATCGAGCAAACAACCAAACTTCTTAACTTGCTCAAGCATTCGACATTCCTGCAAGTGCAAATAAATAAAAAGAAGAACTGTCGAACAAAGCTTTAACCTCGACAGAAAGAATAGCAAAGTTAGCAAACGAGCAAGTGTGTACGACCGAATCGACAACTGTGTATATACATATCCATGTTGTACATCCAACAAACTAAATTTCCCCCCTTACGATAAGAAAATTGAGTGGATATATATAAATAAATTTATTTGAACTTGAGTCAGCAAAGTGCATGCGAGAGTGAGTGAGAAAATATTTGTTCGACATGCAAAAGCTGTTTGGATACTTTTTCTCATCTTCTTCATGCTTGAACTTCTTTTCGATGTAATATGTGTGTGAGGTATCATCATCATCATTAGGATGCGATGTAAATATACAATTCCCCAGTGAAAATATTGGCTGTAAGTTGGTAATGAATCATTAATATTTAAAGAAATTAGTTTTAATAATTTGATTCAATTTGTTGATAGTTTATTCGAGCTTTTGTTTTCTAGGAGAAGTTAAGGAGATCAATGATCTGTACATGACTTATCTCCTGGCTTACACTTCAGCTGGATGACTTCTCGTTCAATATTTAAGAATGGGATTCGAAACTTTAACACAATTTTGAGTCGAATGCCTATTCAATGTTCCAAAGGCGGCATTTAACTGCTTTTCTGTGTAGTTGTGCTGAAGACTAATATTAGCTACCAATAGTTAAAAGCTTTCTGACAAAATTACCCACAAGATCAATACTTATTTACATCCATCATGAATTGAATTGAAAACAGACTTGATGACTTATTCGGACAACCGACGAATCTCATGAATGATATAAGAAGTCACAAAAGCACACAACAAAAAAAATTATTTTTCGTCATGCAACTCATGCTGTCACGAAAAGCAACATTGTAAATAACAAATTCGTTACAAATGTCCAGCGCATGTGCGAACACTCAGAGAAATAAAATTCTCTTCCTTTTTAGTTTCGATCCTCACACAAAACAGTATAGCATAGAGGAACGTTTCACGGAAAGAAAGTAACGTGCAACAAATCAATTTTTTTTTCTGTTCCTTTCTGCTCCGTCTTCATCGTACGTGTTTCTTTCAGTTGGTCGTTGAACATCATCGCGATAAGATGGATAAGCTGAAGAGCTGAAAAGAAGAGTTGAACGGGTTAAATTGTGTATGAAGCATAAGCTTAAAAAGAGCATTTTTTTGTGGAATTTGTGACAATGACTGACTATAATTAATCCACAAAATCGTTATTTTTCGTGGACAATTTTTGTTGATTTTTTTTGTGGACAATGGATTTTTTGGAACTAGATTGTTTATTGGAAGTTTGTGAATTAAATTGAAGGAAAGTTGCTGAAATTGTTGGAAATCAACAGTGAATAATTGCAAGAAAATCATTCACATGATCCAAAATAAAAACATCTGATCTGAAGAATTTGAAATTCTGTGGACGTGATCAAGATTTAAAAAAATTTGTAAAAACTTTTCACTTTCAACAATTCGATTGAACTAAAACTAGCTTGAAAAGCCAATAGGCTGGAAATTTAAAAAAAAATATTTTGAAGCAGTGTCTGAATAGAACCTGAAATAACCAATTTTTATCTAAAGTAAAATCGAAGATCTATAGAAAAATAAATTATTCAAAGTCTGTGTGTTGGGGACAATAAGCTCTAATATTAAATCATCAAGTAACTTGATAAATTCGTGTAAATTAACAATTGAATGTCATACAGTAAACAGAAAACATTAAAATTAAATGTGTTCTTAGTTGAGCAAAATATTAAATTTGTGAAAATATTTAAAAAAAATCAAAACTTCGCTTTGCAAAAATTTTTAAAAAAATTCAAAAGTTTATAAAAATTACAATTTTTTGACAAATTTAAAAAATTGGATCATTAAAAATCATTTAAATCAAAAATAAAAATTTTCATCAACTTTAAAAATTCTACTAAAATCAAAACAATAAATTAATCCAGATATATTGGAAATTTGACCACAAAAAAGTTAAATCATCAGAAACTAAAACAAAAAAACATTTCATTGTGAAACCAAAAAAATTAAAACTTCATCAAAAATTCAAAACCACAATAAATTTTCATCAGCAAAGCAACAGCATCCATTCATGAATTTTCATTAACCATTCAACAACAGTCAATATTAAAAGTTTGGTGTCAAAACTTTGTTGTGGTTAAAATTGAAAAAGTTGAACGTGGAAAGTGTTGAGCTTTTGTTTAAAAGCTCTTTTG